CCAGCAGGGATGGAACGGAGACAAAGGCGCAGATGTCAGGGTATCGGGGAATACGGGGTTAAATTACAGGTAAGGCAGGCAAAACGCAGACGGACAATACAATGACCGGACTGGGGAAACAAACTGAAACGCGGGCAAAATACAGAGGACTAATGACAACAACCAGAAACAACTGATCACACGGGGATTCCACACGGGGGTTAACGAGGGGGCGTGGCACACGGAAGGAGCGGACGATCAGGGCAGGACACATTGTTTGGATACATTTATTTTCTTACTTTAAAAATTACCGTTTTGATAAATGTGCTTAGATGTGTTTAGTACAGTATATGCTTTTCTTGTTTTGTCCAGTTCATTTTGCGTTTAAATGCTTAAAAAAAACAAAAAAAAAAAAAAACATATTTCGGTGTAATTTTTTGAGGCTGGGAACAAATGAATTGGTTTTCCATTATTTCTTATTGGGGAAATTCGACCAGAATTCGAACTTTTTAGGATTTGGTCCAGAGTTCTGAACAGATTAATTTCGAGTTCTGAGGTACCACTGTATTCCAAGTTGGAAACTTTCCATGGGCTTTATTGGGAATATATGGCAATTAAAGGAAAGTTCTCAGAATTTTGCAACCCTACTCATAATGGCTACAAAACCAAAACCCAATGGCATGGAAGGTGAGCCTCCTATGCGATGTGATCTCTGAATTTGCTAGGGAGAAAACTAACCTCTTCATTGTCAAAGAGGGTCACCATGCGGATGTTGGGATCCTTGGCCAAAGAATCCTCCAGGCAGGATTCTATCAAGGCCTGCAGCAGACCGATAAAGGAAACATAAATTGCTGAGAAGGGCACAAGTTTCCATGCTGTTCTTTTGCAAAGCATTACATAATCAGAATGGCAGGTGTTTTGCGGGTATTGTGTTAACGGGAGAGGAGCACATCACCTGTAAGGCACAGTAGCAGCTGTGCAGGTTATCCAGACGGGGAGAAAAGATAAACTCCTCATATAGGCCACCCAGGACCTGCACAAAACATACAGACGAGCAAAATTAACAAACTCATTTAATATAATTTTCCCATTTACTACATTCATGCAATATTACTTCAACATACATTTTTGCAAGATGAGGAGGTATATCGTAATAAACGACAGTAAGTAACATACTCTATCGAATGCCTCAGGTGTTAAGCTGTTTTATACTTTAAGCCCCAGAGAAATCAGAAAAAAAAACAACAGATGTCTTGGGACTCACCGCTGGCTGGGTATCAGCTAAGCAGAGCTCAAAGTCCAGCAGAGATTCTGGCTGCACGCCCAGCTCTGTACACAGGAGCTGGATCAGTGCAGGGTGGTGCTTCTCCGCCTGACATCAGGAAAGGAGGAGAAAGACAATGGCAGGAATAGGAAATGGAAGACTGTAGGGGATCGCAGTCTGCTTACTTTTACCCCTGACTGATAGCAAATGGCGCCTCACAGCCGGCTTGTACACGGCTTCCACAGTTGATGCATGGTTGGCAAGCCCGTGTTGATTTTTGCTATAGTTAGATGGCAGTTTGCAAAACCGCTGCTTACCGTGCTGGAGGCGCCGCACGCGTCTCCAGGGGATGCAGAGCCCGTCTCCAGCTCCTCCTGCACGGCAGTGGCCAAGATGGGCACTCTGACACAGTGGGAAGTACAGGGATGGATCAGAACTGCACAGCCAGCAGTAAAGTTAGAGCACTGATATAAAAAAATAAACTTCTGATACGTAAAGAAATAAAACAATACATACTCTCCTGGGCAAAAAAATGGGCAATTAGAGTTTGACCCATTTTGTTTTTCCCCAAAAGTATTTAAAAAATTAAAAAATTTAAAAAAAAAAGAGTACAATGAAAACCTGCCTAATCTGCTTCCACTGCTTTACTCACAAGTGATTCTCCTTGTTAGGGCCGAAGGAGTCGTTAATGTCCCTTTGAAGGTGTATAGCCAGATGGGGGATCCTGAGAAGCGGGCGAGGCACGTGCACCAGCCGATGGACCAGGCGCTCCCCATTCTGGCATGAAAAACAAGGCGATACGCAAAAACATGCACACAGACGCACAGCAGATGGTGAAAAATGCAGTGCATGCTGAATCCCACCAAGACAACACACACGCCCCATAAGGACCGCAATCCTCAGCCATACCTTGACCATGACACGACCAGCGATGGTCAGGTCCCGGTCAAACCACGTATTCCAGATGCCTCCACCATAGCATTCCACGCCAACCTGCAGGCAGCCCTGCCGTGTCTTCTTGGAGCGTGGTTTCACCTGCACACAGACACATACACGGACGAATGCGCCTCCACTCCACAGTAATTACGACTTTCTCTCACATCCTTAATTTCCAACCATTAAAAGTTTCCATTCCTGTCCTCACCCTCAGACAAGGGCTGTCAGTGTGCGCTCCAATCATAGTGAACCCATTGCCAGGCTGGTACAGGCCACCCACAGCAAAGGCGATGACAGTGGAGAAGTTTCTGGTGACAAAGTACTGCATATAGGCAGAAAGCAGAAAGCATCTCACACTGATCTGAGCAATGGAACCAATAGTAATTGAGCTCTGGGGAGAGTTACAGGAAGACAGACCTTGCTGGCTGGCTTGATATCCCAGTGATCAGCCTCCTTCAGCTCCGTGAAGCCCGCGCCCAGAAGCCGAGAGCGGCACTCCTCCACCACTGCACATCAGAGCAGAGCACGGGTAATACGAAGTGAAATGAAATGCAGATCTTCCTTACTATGACAGGTGATTAGAAAAACTCCTTAGCAGTACTAGGTCATGTTAGATTAAGTGAAGAAGTTCAACTTTGCCCATCTTGTCAGCTCTCTAATCGGCTTGTATCTGTCAAGTTAGACCTCAGGATCAAAGTCCACATGAGGAACTACACACGATCGTTACAGAAGGACCAGCATGCATAGACACAAGAAATAAAGCAAGCCATGACAAACTACACATTTACCTCTAACATTTATAAGATGAAACTGAAATCACATTTAGCTGTAATGCATATCGTACGTGTCCAGTTTAGTATACTTATATAAATCAAAATATCCCTGCTGTCCTCGCAAGGAACTGCAACTCCCCGTAGGCGCCTTTGACTGGCAACGACTGGCGATCAGCTTCAGGTCACTGTACCATGAAAAGGCGAAACTCCGCGATTCACGAAGTGAAGAAACTCTTTGGCTGCATTTTGTATTGTTTCTTTAGAGGTCTTCATAATTGTCGACTGTTGAGGGTAAAAAGATGGCATGCGGAGCCAGATGGGTTATAAACTTAAATGTAATTAAAAGTGGGATTTGTAAATAGCTATCGTTTACGAGCAGAAATATCTATAAACGAATTAAGCTGAAATTACTGTTTAGCAGCCTAGCTATAATGTACAGCTATAGCGACTGACTCGTCATCTGAAAACATATCGTAAATGCTTTAAATGTTCACTATTTGGAAATTAATCATGTTAAACAATTTCGTCTATCAGACAGAAATACAACCCGATTTATCTACAAATACATCGGAGAGCACCGATACGATCCTATGTGAAAATGACAGTATATATGATATTATAATCTCACTTACGTGCATTAAAGTGAAAGCACATCGAACCATACACTGAACCGGTAAAAAGAAAGAGAAAATCGGAACTAGCCGACAGATTAAAACAAGGGGGAAAACGGCAGAGAGTATACTGGCTCTATATGCTACCAAATTTCTTGCTCTCCGCCCCCTGCTGGAGAGGTGGTTCAACAAATCCTAAAAATAGTTCATTAGAGGCTATGGATGTCATGGCCGGGATTGCTGGCAGGAGGGTACATCTCGGACGGGATTGCCATTTCATCACAGGGGACGGACAGGCACATAGCCACGTGGTAAAATAACTGGTCTGAACCCCCCCAGAAGTCTATCAAGGGAACCCGCAGATTTATTTTTGGATCTCTGCTTACGGGACTGGGTACACGCGCACATGCGTACACACACATACACGTATACACACACACTACATTATAGAATAATATACATATGATTTTATGACATTTGAATTTTGAACATAGTCCAAGTCTACTTTAGACATTCTGTTCTTCTATTTTTGCTTCAAATACACCCAAACACATAATCATACTGTTCACTGTTGGTTTGCCACTTTCCAGAGATCAGACCTTTTCGAAATATATGCATTTATGTATTGTGACACACACTATAAATTACTTCAGACTTATTTACTGCAAAAACATTTGAATACTTAATTCAAGCCAATAATAAAGACCACTCTGTTGAAAATGTGAAAGGTTCATATTTAGTTTATGAACAAACCAGATGGCAACAAGATTGCTTAAAGATTAAGTTAGAAGTTGCATAAATTTCCTCTCACTGAGATCTCCTAAAAACAAGAATAATTTTATGCCGATTCTTTAAAATGCAAAGATATTACTTGTATCATCGATGTCTTCATAAAAGTGCTCTTATATGTAAATACAGAAGCACTCACCTCTCTGTAATGACAGAGACTGGATAAAATTTATTGAATTTCTTTGCTTTCTTTCCATCTGCCAGTCTTGGACCGGTGGTATTGTCAGGGTCTATAGGGGGCTGCCACATCTGCTTATGAGGCACGAGGATGAAAGCCCATAGCCAGTCTGCTTCTGTGCTTTACTCGGTGTCTCTAGGGAAAATCGTTCATCACCACGGCAGACTTTGATCTCATTTTACATTAGAAGTATATTTTACAGTACAGTCTTGGCATAACATGGTCAATATCACTCCAACAGTGTGGGCTTCACTAATATCAGAGGTAGACCAGAGATCAATGAAGGATGTGTGCTTTAATTGCGGTGTACAAGGTATGTCCCTAATATCTGCTGTCCTAGCATGTCAGCAAAGCAGCAGCTGAAGAGTTAAACAGGCCTGGCTGTTTGCCCTTTGTCTCCCTGTCCCATGCATGCTGGGGTACTCAAAGGGATGACCTTGTTCCAGCCTGGTTTAATGTCTGTTGGCTCAGCTATTGGCTCAAGAAATCCAAAAAGAGCTCCTCTTAACTTTAATTTCATGAGTTTAGGAGTCTCTCTTCAGAGTCAGGGCATGATTATCGTTCCCATGGGATTGAGTGAGAGACACAAGCATGCAGTTTCTACTGACAGGTATCTCTGTGATTTTCTTTTTCCTGGTCTTTGTCTTGTCTTGTGATTCTCAGTTCATTCCTCAGGGACCCACAGATGGCCCATGTTTTTGCTCCCTCTCAGCTCTCTGTCAGACAGGCCACATTCTTGCTCCCTCCCAGCCAATACATGGACTGTATGGGGGTTTCCAAGGACCGGATTGGAAAACAATATTATAGGAGAATATCACTGTCGTTCCGCAGCTGTGGCTCAGGGAGATAAGCAGATATTACTGTGCCAGCTCACGGAGTCCATTCCACACAAAAACGATAGCTATCCATCAAGTAATGAGCCATATGCTGCCTTCCTCCAGCAGAGAGCTGTATCTCAGCCCTATTATTTTTTATGTCATATAAATACTTATTTCAAGTTATATATCTTGAAGGCATGACTATTTATAGTTATATATGCACACTTATAGTTTGTGGGATTTTTGATATCATTACATCACTTTGTAACTAACACAAATCATTTGTAGGCTTTCATGTTAGCAGTTCATGACGTTTAAATATCTGAATTCTAGATCAAAACAACAGTGAGACGCTAAACATGCAGAGCATGGTTTCTCTAGGAAATTCCTAAACAGGCTTTACTTCGAGCCCTGTTGCTCAAAGCAAATGAGAGTCACTCTCATTCATTAGAATCTGCTTTTATCTGCTTTCCTTCACAGAACCCATGGCGTGACCAGAACTCCCATCTCTGTCCCTCTGCCTTATATAGTGACAAAAGGCATGGCTGGAAGATGATGATGAGAATGAGAAAGAATGAAAGGAAAAGGTTTGGCTGCTGCTGATGGTGGCGGTGTTTACATCCCTTGTCAGTCCCTGTCTCTCCCTGAGAAGTCCCAGAGAGTCAAAGTGCTGACAGTTTTTAGTCTATAAGTCTATATATAGCTGTAACACCAGCAGCTGTGAATGGTAAAACTTTCTTTAGAGTCTATCTATTGAAGTCTATGCCTTACACATTTATTGTTTGATATTTTTTTCAGCCTTCCTGAATACTGTTGCGGGAACTTCAGTAACCCATTTGTGACCATGTGAAGTAAACTAACCAGAGTATAAGTGTGTTATACAAGCTGTTAAAAAGTTACTTAGACTGTTGCTGCATTGAAGGTGCATGACATATTTTAAAATGGTTCAACAGCTGAAGACCTTGGAGGACGTTGAAGGGAGGCAGCAGTGAAGTTTGCAAAAATATGTCTAAATGTACCTTAATATAATTTTTTGCCAAACTGATCTCTATCAATCAATGCATCTGAGAAGAGAAACCAGGGGCCCCTGGCTGGATGAGGGGCTCCAGGGGCCCCTGGCTGGATGAGGGGCTCCAGGAGCCCCAAGGTGCATGGAAAGCAGTGCAGAGGACTGGATAGCAGGACACGGTTACCGGGAAAAGGACCCGAAATAGAAGAACAACCCCATTACAATGCAGCACTGATGTAACACAACCATTCTGTGGATTACTGTAGATTTTTGTTGCATCGTCATTCTAAAAAGTCCCAACAGCCTGTAAGTTACAAACATTCATTTCTTAAAATGCATTCTCATTGTCATACATTATTTTAATGGTGTTTGGCTTCCAAACAATTTATAGTTTTTCTCAAGTTCTATGTATTTTTTTCCTTCTTCATGTACATTGATTCTGAATGAACAGTTGGAAAATGGATGGATGGATGGATAATTGCTTATCCTGGTTAAGGTCACGAGGTTGCTTTAGTTCAGCTATAGTTACCGGTCATTCCTAAAATTCTTGGACCTTCAGCGATTCGTAGCCCCCTAACAAGCCTAGAGGTCTCATTTATGGAGCCCCTCTCCTGTTTGTTTAAATGCCGCGTAATACCCGGGTTGGAATGACATAATCATCAGCAGCTCTCTGTTTATCCTGGCGGGACAGCTTAATGCGCGCTCCTCCGTGGGCACCGCGCTGCTTCAGGGTGCACACAGCTATCCTCTGCTGATACCTTTCCTTTTTAAGGAAGGTTACTCAAACCTCCCCATGGAGAGGAATGCTGTGTAGATGTTGCAAGGATGACAGCAGGTCCCAGGCCTACAGGCACCTCATGCTCACATTGCAATACCGTGATGTCAGATCAGTATCCAGAAACGTGACAGAAAGGTGGCTTTTTGTCTGCAGCTTGGTTTGTTCATCTCGATTTCATTGATTTCATTTGAGCTGCCGGTATGTCTGATTTATTTTCATCTGTTCATATAATTTCAAGGTTTTACAAAATGGGAAAGTATTATTTCAAGACACATTAGACCTTACGTTTGCCAAATTACATCTGCAATGCATTTTGTGTGTGTGTGTGTGTGTGTGTGTGTGTTGATTAGGGTTATATTACATTGTGGGGACCAAATGTCCTCAAAAAAACAGCTATTTTAATATTGTGGGGACAATTTTTCAGGTCCCAACAAAGACCCGTGAATGCAATCAAAAACCTAAAAAGGCCAAAAGTCTCATATTTTGTTTGGCTACTTATGGTTAAGGTTAGGGCTGGGTAGGGGTTAAGATTGTCTTGTTGGGATTAGAGTTTTCCCCACAGAAAATAATGGAAAGTCCCCACAAATATATAATTACAAACCTCTGTCTGTGTGTGTGTGTGTGTCTGTCTGTCTGTGTGTCTGTCTGTGTAATATATTTCATGTAGACATATAGTTTTTCCTAACCAGTGAGCCATGCCTTACAGCACAGTGCCTCTCCCATCCTCTGCTTTCTTGATGGCTAGTAGAGCATTTATAACACTATAATGTCGTTGGCCTTCAACTTTCTCAAGAAAAGTTTAGCAGACTCTCTTTCTCAAATACAAGCGAATGCATTGACTGATACAATACACTATATCCAATACCATCAATGAAGTCACTGGACCTGCTTCACTGTCCTCATATATTTCCCAGGCCAAACTTTATCCTGTTCCTCATGATGGATGGGGCAGGCATGCAGCCGTAAGTTCTTGACTGTTATGAACCAGCATGACTATGACAGCTGACTGTGGGGATACAGGGAACAGGGTGGGTGAGAACTGAAGCAGGGGGAGGTCAGCAAAGAGATTAAGGAAGCCTGAAGGGGAGGGAGGAAGGGGAGATTGCTACAAATAGCCAGAGCTGGAGCTACAGCTCCTCACTCTGTTACCCTCCTCAATTCATCCAGCTTAGACCACCAGCCAGCAAGCCGCCACCATGAGCAAATCCTATTCCTCCGCCTCTCAGTCGTCTTCCTCCTACCGCCGCACTTTCGGCTCCGGCATGTCTCCATCCGTAGTGCGCAGCGTCTTCCCCGGCCGTGGCTCCTCCAGTGCCTCCCATATGTCATCCCGTGTCTACGAGATGAGCAAGACCTCCTCGCCCATCTACTCCAGCTATCGCTCCTCTTCCAGCTTCGGGCTGCCTTCCTCACGCTATGCCGGTCTGGGGGAGACCCTGGACTTCAGTCTCGCCGACGCCATGAACCAGGATTTCCTCGCTACTCGCACCAATGAGAAAGCTGAACTCCAGCACCTGAATGACCGCTTTGCTAACTACATCGAGAAGGTGCGCTTTCTGGAGCAGCAGAACCAGGCCCTGGTCGTGGAGATCGATCGGCTGCGCAGCCGCGAGCCCACACGCATCGCCGACATATACGAGGAGGAGATGCGGGAGTTGCGCAGGCAGATTGAGGCTCTGACCAATCAGAGATCCCGTGTGGAAGTGGAAAGGGACAACCTGGCAGATGACCTTCAAAAAATCAAACTCAGGTGAGGAGCAGGAGTGAGGGTGCACTAGAGGTGGGAGGAAAGATACACTCAAAAGTGGAAGAAGACAATGAGCATCAACTGTCAAAAGTCATGTCACCTTTTGCAAAACCAAGAGTATATCAGTGAGAGGCTCCAGAGCCATAATGTGAGATCCCATTATAACCTGATATGCATTCCTGCTGTACCATAAACCAGCCATGACCCTTGCATGTATGTGAGAGCATCCTGGGGCTCTCACAGTATCCTGCGCTGCTGTGTATTTGAGATTGTTGGTCAATGTACGAGTAATACACTCACAGAGCAGGGTGTTATATAAACTAAATATGAGATGGTGAATGAGGCCAAGTAGCCTACAGCACCACGATCCTACTTAAACTTTCTGAATGTAGGGTGAAGAAAGGGAAGTGATGAGCTAAGAAAAGGAAGTGTAGGTAAGTGTCTTAATTTCATTATACTCAAGGTTTAATGCAGGACTACTCACAAAACTTTTTATGATTTTAGATTTTTTTTCAGGAATAATTAAAGACAAACTTAGGCTTAATGCTTAATAATTACAAAATGTATTCAATGGACAGTGGTAAAGCAGACAAAACTGGATACAGTCAGTCATCATTCAGAGATAAATGTATGTAGATCTTTGAATGATAAATGTAGGGAGAAACAAAACCTCTCTTATTGTTGGCTACAACTGTTCATGCAGCATGACCCATTACCAGCTCCCATGGCAAAAAGCTATTTTCGTTGTATCTTCTATGATCATTCGCCGCTATGGTTTTCTTTCTGTCTAAAAATACTCCCTATGACCTTGCCTGTGAGCGTAACAGTTGCACATGTGCCTTTGTTTATCACTGTATGTGCAGTACAGTATGTGCATTTATGTGCAGGTGATTATCGCTGTATGTGCAGTATGTGTATTGATGTGCAGGTGATTATTGCTGGATGTGCAGTACATGCATTTATGTGCAGGTGATTATTGCTATATGTGTAGTACGTGCCTTTATGTGCAAGTCTTTAATGCTGTATGTGCAGTACGTGTGTTTATGTGCAGGTGTCAGGGGACATTGCAGTATACTGTATCTGTTCCCTATGGTGCTTCACCTTATATGTCAGGTATTTTACTGTGGATGTCATTTGTCCCTCAGTTAATGGCATCACTAGATGTGTTTTTGAAGTTTTCAGGTCTGGCAGCACAGTAGTTTCTCTCCTCTACTACCTAATAGAATAGCACAATTCCTGGGGAAATTCGGTAGTTTGTCCCAATCTCATCTTGCCCTCCAAGAGGCACACAGACACTTATACACGTGAAAGAAGGATTGGGGGATAGACCAGCATCCAATGCCCCTGGAGCAATAGGAATTAAGGGCCCAAGGGTGACATCACTCTCTGATTTCTGATATGACTCTCTGATTTCAACCAGCAACCTTCTGATCATAGGCACAAAGTCCCAATCCACAGAGCTACACCATCCCCAAAATGTACTTGCATATGACAAAGCTCAAAGCAACACAAAACCAGTGAACTTTGACAAAATGTTCCACACCTGAACAAGGTCCCAACTAAACTAACACAGCAATGACTCAAGGGCATATTCCCAAAGCTGTGTTGACCCTCATGTGTTTCTAAAATCAGGCTGTTACCACTTCAATGAAAAACCCATGGCTGCACAACTGATCATCATCACCATGACAGCACTCAGGGCTCACTTCCTATTTGGGAGTTGGCTGCATCTCTGGCCCAAACCCCAGATACTTCCTTCTTCAGGCTCTGGAAAATGTTTGCGCTTGAGTGGCCATAGTGGAAGTCTATAAAAGGAAGCGGCTGAAGTGAATCGAAGTGAGGATGAGGAATAACAGCATTGCTTATCTTACTCTCTCTGCCTTGCTCTCTTATTCTCTACCAAAGAAAGGGAAACAGAAGACTTTATAGTGACAGAATATAATGATTATAAATGCTGATGTGTTTCTGGGAAGTAGATTTGCAGGCTGTTTCATTGCAAAAGCTCCATACACTATTGTTGTTATAAGAGATAGATTTAAAAACATGAGTAATATAAAGCAGATCAGTGGTATATCTTGGCACAGGCAAGATGGGCGATTACCTAGGCATCTTCTGAGCCCCCGTAGGCGCCGGCGGTGAAGCTCACCTAGTCCACATGGGCTTCGACCCGCACTGAAGCAGATGATAGCTGGTGCCACACAAAGGTGACCAGAGTCGAGGTATAGAGGAAGACACCTTTATACTGTCCACTGTGACCAGGGGTTATAATTAGCATGACTGCACTATAGAGAAATATGGGCCAGATGGTCAGGGAATCTGATCCGTCTGCTGAATAAACGCCTCCTGACTGTAGACACCTGATCGGTTCTTGGGTGCTGGTGAGAGATACACGGCTCCACAGTATCACTCCAATTCACCAGTGGCAGAGTGTGACTGGTGGGGTGAGAAAGTAATGCTGCTATCCATGCTAACCACGTTCTCCTTACCAGCACACAGGAGCAGCGCTGGACAGCCGAATGCGATGCAGATTTGTTCAGACTGGAATCATAAACGTCATATTTATCGACTGAAGCTGCCTTTATTTTCTTCCCAATGATCTGAAGGTTGCAGGAGGAGATTCATCTGAAAGAGGAGGCAGAGAGTAATCTAGTTGCCTTTAGAGCGGTAAGGTCCAAGATGTTGGCACAATAAGGATTTTTAACTATAAGAATATAATAGAATCTATATAAATACCATTTACACTATCAAGCACCTCAGTTAGTGATTTCTCCATGTTCTTATACTATAATAAACATAACACAAAGAAAATGCATTCAGGGCTCTAATAATCAAGATAATCTTACACATTCACCTCTGGTAGGATGTAGATGCCGCCACACTGGCCAGGCTGGACCTGGAGAGGCGCATTGAGACTCTGCAGGAGGAGATCACCTTCCTCAAGAAGATCCATGAAGAGGTTAGATCCCTGTCTGTCCTATATATGCTCCTTAAGATGTTTTCTGAACTGCCAATCTACCTGTCAGTCTAAAGAAAATCCATCCATCAATCCAAATATCCATCTTCAATCCATTTATTCAGAGAAGCCAGCTGACCGAATTGCATGGCTCTGGATTGTGAGAGGAAATCCTTATGCTATGTAGAGGCAGGAATTAAACCCCATAATGGTGGGGGTGTGAAACAGCAGTGCTGTTATGAATTTGAGCATAAATATACATACAAACACACACAAATGGAAGCAGCCCATTTGATTACCTTGTTACTGAAGGTAATACACCCACAAATTCCGTATCATCTGAGAACTTCTGCAGTTGATACAGGTCAATGTTGTACCAAATGTTTAAGGTGTACACAGATTCTATTGAACTGAATGTGTTAGAAAATTCAATGAACATGATGTTGGTTTACATGGTTCTGCCAACATTGTCAATCTGGGAGTACACAGACACAAATACACACACAAATAGCCTAGTTAGAAAATAAGCATGAGGGCGAGATCCCTTTCGTCTCTCACACTTCTCGAGGCTTCAATTTATTTTCTTTTTTGCTGTTTGCTCACTGTCTGTTTAAAGGAGCAGTGAGACAGCGCCAGACACATGTAGGGCTATAATTAAATGCTGAGGGAGCAGCACAGAGTTGTGGGATGATGGACAAAATGCTCATTTGCCGCTGTTACGCTCTACTTGCTGTAGATGAACGCTCCACTTACACTGATAGTTTAAATAGAATAAACCCACTTCCATCTGTGCTCACCTCAGGGGGGGGGGACGCTTTTTCTCTGACACTAACCTGATAAATAAAAGATGTGTGTAGAAAGTAGAAATCAGCAGGCTCACACCTAACTCTCTCCCTGCAGGAAATTCGTGAGCTGCAGGCCCAAATGCAGGAGACGCAGGTCCAGATCCAGATGGACATGTCCAAGCCAGACCTGACGGCAGCCCTCCGGGACATCCGGGCCCAGTATGAGGGCATCGCTGCCAAGAACATCGCAGAAGCTGAGGAGTGGTACAAGTCCAAGGTGTGAGATGAACGGAAATGGCTGCGCGCAAAAAAGAAAGTGTGCAAAAGAAACGTGGTGAAGTCAGAGCGTGAGCTAGTATTCGCTTGGAATGGGCCTTATCACTGCAGATGTGTGACCGGCAACAATGCGACACAAGTTTCTCGCCTGTGTGCATGATTGATAGAGTGAAAGCATGCAAATACAGTGGATCTGCATCTCACACAAGTGGAACAATTAATCACTCCCCCCCCCCCCTTAGGTTTCGGATCTAAACCAGGCCGTCAGCAAGAACAATGACGCTCTGAGGCAGGCCAAACAGGATAGTATGGAGTTCCGCCACCAGATCCAGTCCTACACCTGTGAGATCGATTCTCTGAAGGGCACCGTAAGTTTCCTATGAGTCTCCAGTCACTCCGGTTCCACACTCTCACCAAACCCTAACCCTGGCCCTCTCCTGTCTGCCCTCTCCCCCATTCACTTTTAACGACTAGTTGCTACTTTCCCTCCTTCCCACACCATCCCCGGTCCGCTAATCTTCCCGCCTCTGATTCCTCCCCACCAGAATGAGTCTCTGATGAGGCAGATGCGGGAGATGGAGGACCGCATGGGCCGCGAGGCCGGCGGATACCAGGACACGATCACTAGGCTGGAGGCTGAGATCGCCAACATGAAGGATGAGATGGCCAGGCACCTGCGGGAGTACCAGGACCTGCTTAACGTCAAGATGGCTCTGGATGTGGAGATCGCCACCTACAGGAAGCTGCTGGAGGGAGAGGAGAGCAGGTGAGACAGGAGGACGGACGCCACTAACATACCAAATCTGCTGCTTTAAAAGCTGCCTATTAGAGGATGTACATGCAATACTGTACAGAAGCATATGACATGGATGATGGAGGAAGGAATGGGTGTTTAATTAGGGATGGTTTTTTTTTTCCTTTTTTGTGGTGACATGGATGGGGCAGCGTTAGTATATCAATAACAAGTGAAAACAAAAGCGAAGCTGACACATGGAGAATAACGAAAGAGGAAATGAATCATTCTGCACACTGGTGCAAAAATCAGGGACAATTGTGGGTGCAGAGATTAGGATGAGTGTCCAAATTCCAGGGACTCAATCCTTCAAAGGACACGGCCTATAACGGCGAACCCTTCTTAGGCTGCATTCTTCGAAAATCGAACAGAAAGCATTGTCAGGTGGGACGGTCTGGCCTACGGATAATTTCCTATTTGCCTCACCAGCTGTTCCCACCCTTACCCTTGAGTCATGAAGCGCCGCTCCAACCTCATAGCCGGGACACACCCACGTACCCTCTGTGCAATGAGTGTTAGGGTATGCTGGGCAGCGAAGGACCCATCGGGTGGAGCCTCATGACTTGGCAAAAGAAGGACGCATCACTAGACTGCATTTGAAGGAGCCTTCGAAATGGGACAGCCTTGTCACACCGCTGTGACGCATTCAAGTCTGCAGCCTTAGAAGGATGCCGCCCCTGAATTCGGACACAGCCAGGTCGTGGGCAGCTTCACGGGGGGTTAGAGGGAAAAGAAGCCAAATAATTATACTGCCACATATGAAATGGGGGGGGGGGGCTGAACCCAAGTTACTGATGCCCCCAATACATTGCCCTCAATATCATAGCAAAAACATGACTATTTTACCTGTCCACCTGATACATGTGCTATTTCCTATATTCATTTGACGCATCTGTATGTTGATGAGGCAGCCCATCGTAACGTTGCTTCACACTTTGCTTTTCTGTTATCTCCAGGATTGCTATCCCCATGCATGCCTACTCCACGCTGAGCTTCCGAGGTGAGCCCATGTAACCCTTACAGAAATGAACCTTCATCCTAAAAGTGTTACTGCTGCTCATGCATATATACACCATCTCACATTCGATTTCATTCAGTGAGGGAGCTTTAGGAAAGAAAGCCTTTTAGAAAGACACAGACATAACCATCCAGAGTGGACACTAAACCCAATGCACGAGATTACAGTACACAGCCCTGTGAAATATTGCCATGCCCACTAACAATTTCACAACACACTTTAGAATTGCACGGGTTCACTAGCGTTACGGCCACTTTTCCCATGTGCCTCAGTATCCTCCAAATTGCTGAAAAGTGTTACTTAACACCCAGAACAGTATATTTCACTTTAAAATAAATGAAAAAGTATAGTTGCAGCAATAAGTGATAATATCGGTTATAAACATTTTGGATGCAATTTTGGTCATTAATGATATAAAAATCTAATCAAGCAGATTTACCATACACATAATCGGGCTCTTAGGCAAGCAAATAGGTTTGGCGGTGCCTCCTTAATTCTGCGTGTGTCCCAGTGCATCCTTCGTTAATCAAGTCAAATCTTTCTTTGCTGTGTGGATCATATCACCACCAGAGGTCGCTATTTAAAAGCTTATTACCTAATTGGCTTTCTGCTTCTTCCGTAAAGCAGGGGCGCTCAGTCCTGTCAGTCGCAAGGTCTGCAGATTTCAGCTGAGCTCCTAATTACGGAAGCTGAGCTGTTGCCTGAATGAATCGTTTTAAACAGCAAAAAACAAAAACAAAGGTTTACTGTCATCTCACACCACTTACCCCGGTTAGGTTTAATCCATCCGGGTCCTTCCCTGAGTCATTCATAGTTTAATGGTTCAAGAAAGAATATAAACTCATTAGGCGTAATTGTCTAAACGGGGAATTTACTGAAGTTTGGTTTAGGATAATTAAAAATGTTGCATCTCCTCAATTAACTTATATGGTTGCATGGATTTATTTATTGAATAGTTAAATCTAAGCAAAAAATAAAAAAATCTAGGTGAGAGTTTAACTGCAACAAACAGGAACACACCATATATATTCTGAGAGGAAGGGAGTTTTGCAATCCGTCCTGTCATGATGAAACAGTAATCAGACATGCAAATGCGGGCATTATTTTATGCTGGGAGTCATTTGATCATCAAGTATGTTATAAGCTAAATAGCTATAGTAATTTCTGCATTTCTTTATATTTTGCTTTTTGGACACCTGTCCCTGTAGAGACCAGTCCTGAGCAGCGCTCATCTGAGCTCCATTCCAAGAAAACAGTTCTGATAAAGACCATCGAGACCCGCGATGGCGAGGTGAGTCCTCTACTCAGTCTGGACGCCACACTGCTGCACTCTCACTTTCATCCTGCTTGGAGACATGTGGCAGCAGCTTTCTGCTCAAAATACATCGTTAAACCCAGAAGGATCACTTTTAGGCAAAGACTTAGAGTGTGATGTTTCATGGAAATTACCCACTATCTCAGGCACTTCTAAGCCAACTGTACAGCAGAAAGAGAAAAGGGTTAATGATGAGGTAACTGCTCCAGAAAATGTCACAGTGCACAACGTAGGAAACCAGCAGCAGTACAGATAGTTGGCGAGATAAAAAAAAAGTCATGAGAAAATAATGGTGGTAGCCTACTGTGTAAAACTCACTATGGTCTTCGCTGGTTTATTTTGACTCAGGCTAGCTTCAGATAGAAGATGGGGGCCCGTAGAGTCGTTGTGTAAGTTCTGTTAACTTCAACCCGTGTGTACCCCATCCTATTCCGGTACTTACTGTTCCACTCCCCCACCGTTTGTGGACTTTTTGAGTAACACCAAATCCCACGGTGAATTCTAAAGAGTTCTTAACCCTACCGGAGAGCTGATACAGTACATGTACGTCTGCTTCAATGAAGCGCCCATGTGCTCCAGAAAATCTGCGCCCATGACTGCAGAGCTATTCTCGGCGGTGCCACTTGGTAGATCAGCAGTTTTGTGCCCAGAATACTTCCTTAGAGCCTGTAAACAGACAGCCTGCACCCGGCATTTCAGCTATCTGCACTCTCTCAACTCATTTAGGCCTGACTTGTGGGGAAACAAGGCTTCTATTGTTCTATTCTGAGTCCTAATCTGAGGTAGATTGTAGAGAGGCTATTAGATCTGACAACGCCATGATGGATGAAGGCGGGGGAACAGAGGACGGCATGCACCATCAGGTCCTTTCAAAAGCTGATTCTCTGGCTGTGGGTTTGTTCGTTGTTCTGTTGAAGCATTCAGCTATCCATTTATTCTGCCTGATTGTCTCTCTGTCTCCTGCTCTCTCATCAGGTTTAGACCCAACTAACCGCTTTGCTTTCATTTACAGGTCGTCAGTGAATCCACACAGCACCAACAGGATATAATGTGAGGCAGGGACGCAAGAAACAGAAAAAAGCAAAATAAACTGAGCGTCCACTTTCCAAAATGGTCTTTATTTAACAGGAAAAGCATGCAACCTTTAGTGCACATATGTAAATCACTGTCATAAAATCATCACTTGGTATCAGTAACAGCGAGTAAAGAACAGGAAATATGACCAAAGAAAGTCACAGCTGAATGTGCTACGGCTTGTATGTGTGTTGAACTCTTAGAATATTTAATATCTTTCAATATTTAAAACCTCTAATAAATATTTAGTCTTCAGATAACCTAGTTGTGTAGATTTTATATCCGTTTAACTCTAAGACACTATGTTACACTACATAAAATCTGTTTTTTTGTTCTGCACACAAATGCAAGTGCAAAGTGGATTATTGGCTAATTGGTATAGATTCTAAGTGTTTGTTGTTTCAGCCTCAAGGCAGAATGCCTGTCTTTAGCTGAGGAGTGTCTAACAAGAATGTCTTTCAGTGCAGAGCAAGAAGCCGCCAACACTGATCCAGCTTTGAAAGACAGTTAATATTTATCTCCTCTTACATTCCAGAGGTGAAGCTCTGCTTCTGTTGCCTAAGATGTCCACTGTGCTTTACAGCAGGTTTAGGATGGAGGACACAACAGGGCCCCATGTTCCTGCGGCATATTACTCTGCTATGCCTCCCAACATACTGGGTATAAGAATGAATACGGAAGAGCTGGGGCTTATATTTATGGCACATAACCCTGAGTGTATGCCTGTCACAGGCTCAATTTATTATCTGATAGACCAGATTCTGATTGTGCTCAAGGAGGGCTGTTGTGTATGGCTGGTGGGCAAAGATTGTTCTGGGAATGTGAGACCATTGAGGGAAAAGTTATAGATCTTTGAGGCATATGAGATTTGGTGTGTTCTGAGGAAAATAAAATGAAATGGAATATTTAACTGACCAATGAGAGCTAGGACGGGAAAATGTGTTTCCCAGTAAATAATAAACACAGACATTGTTATTTATCATCTGATTATGTTGCTGGCTATGTGTCTTTGTTCTAAGAAAATGGGGAAGATTCCTTGAGGAAAACAGGAAAATGTCAGGAATATTATCCAATGGTAGAAACAGTGCAGGATATATCTAGCATAATATGTTTCATTTTTCCAAACATATACCCTCCTATAATTTTAACAAGCTATAAGCATTATGTCTAATTTATTCTCTCGATAATACAACCTTCTCATATAAAATGTGCCTATATAAATGTACATTTCCATAATGAACTTCACAAAATTCCTTTCAAATAGCACAGAGCGTCTTCTGCTAGGTGTACAGCTGAAGTGAATTATGTAGGTCCATTTTTACACGCAGGCACAGTTACTGTCTCTAAGGATGCGTCACTTTCCTACTGAAAGGCCAGCAGTGTGGCCAGTCATCACGGCAGGACAGTGTGGGGGCATCGGGTGTATTTCTGAAACTCTCTACAAGCAGCAAAGGGGCCAAATCAGTTAGTGGACAAAGAAGGCAAGCAGATCCTAACTGTGATCTATCGCCATAGTCCAAAAACAGGCATGAGGTTCCAAAGCCGATCTCGGGAATGCTGAGCAAATAAATAAATCCAAATCCAATGCCAAGACAAAGAGCATGAAAACCAGGGGCCTGTATCACGAAGCCGAATCTCTTGCTTAGCTGGGTAACTTGTCAGATTTAAGGTACCCCAGTTTAAATGGACTTTATCTTCATTCACTCACATTTAGCCCAGACTACCTTAAATCTGACAAGTTATCAGGCTCAGCAAGAAATCCTGGTTTGCAATACAAGCCCCAGGAAAGCAAGCAGAAATTATACACAAAACATCCACTTACTATGGCAGCACACTCAGTACATCACAAGGCACACCAGGTTCTTTTAATCCATGGCAATTAATTAGTATTCAGGTGAGGTGGTGTGGTTGAACGGCTGTTTTGCTTGATGCTGGCATGATACAAATACAGGTAATTTTAAAAAACACATTTAGGCCTTATAGTAATCATAATAACGGTGGGTTCGGTAGTAAAACATTTTTAAATGATTTTTTAATCAACTTAAGTGAAAATGGGTATAGCCAATGAACCACAAATAGATTTGTTTTAACTTGAATTATTTAAAGAATTACAAAATATCTGCAAAATAATTAGCTGATTACCCCTCCAGTTTCCTTAAGTGCTTTTGGAGTACAGGCCGTGGTCAGTCTGAGGCCGTCGCAGAAAACATGGCTGGGGAAACCCTGGGCGTGATGCCAGGAGACACACTTTGGGCGGTTTGGAAAACATCAATGCACATGTTTGTAAAAGGAAACCAGGATGCAAACTTCACATCCAACTTGATGCAAACTTCAAAAGGTGAATTACCAGTGAGAGACCAGTGACAAAAGTCAATGAATGGTGGCTCACTTGAAGTATTCAACACAGATCATCAAGGTCAAATGTACCAAAAGTAATCTGAAGAGTATGGCGTGTGGCCCTGTAGCATGGTGACCAAATATTTATATTTTATTCCGTAGCTCATGCTGTTTTCTATCCATGTATACAGCTGGGTATTTTAGTGAAGCAGTAAAATCATGTTGGAGGTAAAACACCATGCTTTAGAGCAGTCTATCTCAACCCAGTCCTCCACCAGTAGGGAGCTGGAAGGAAGCAAAAATGTAGACTGCTGTAGAGTCAGAGGACCAGATCGAGGAACACTACCTTCAAGGGTTACAGCAATCCCTTCGGACTCTCTTGGGGTCAGAAGACGACAGGTACAAGATACAAGACGGAGACTTTTGGATGTCACAAAAATACACAAATTGGGGACAGCCTGAATAATTTGCTCGCACATTTAGTTACTAACCTCTATTATAAAACATAGATAGAGGAGTAAATTGGGCAGGATCAGAGAGGTCAGCTGTCTTGGGACTTTAGATGGCTCCCCAGCTATTTATACTTGAAGTTTTAGCTTAGTTCACTTAATCACGTACTCGCAAAGTACCCTTTGTATGCTAAAGCAGAATGGGACACAATTTCACCTATCCAAAAGAACCATCATCACAGTATTCTGCATTAATAAATTACAAGGGTATTTTATGGTTTGAATTTTGAGAATAAAAAGAGAGAAATTACTGGGGTCATTTCTCGTGTGTTTTAATTCATTATGATATTTGTTTTATCGCGTTCAGAGAACGCATTAAACAACAGGCCCACCTAGAGAACCGCCACCATCATTGTATCTCCTCCTGACAACCTTAGAAGGTAGTCCCCAAGATCTGTGAGGAGGACAGACCTGCAGACCATTTGACCTGCAGACTGCAACACCCAGAAGGTCTGTGTGCCACACCTGCCTCTAGCCAGCACTGGCAGCCAGCTCACACCACACAGTAGAAAATACACCTGCATTTCATTCCTGAATTACCGTGGAGGCTTTCAGGGCAAAGCACTCTGCGCGGTACTAAGTGTGCTCCCTGTGGTATGGCTCACATATCTATTTTGGTTACCCATTAGGTTTATGATTCTTTTGTTGTAACAAATTTTATTAATTTTTCAAACAATACATACAAATAAGTCAAGAACAGAATCAAGTAACCGTACCAGTGCCACACATGAATCGAGTATACAACTCTAAGCATTAGATTTCCGTATCCGCAATGGCGTCTCCGTGAAGGGAATTATATGTGGTCCATTTTTCCACATAAACCGTTTGCTGAATCCTTACTTTGTGTGCAATTCTTTCAAGTTCAAATATCTCCCTGACAGTGTCCTTCCAGTCATCCACAGTAGGAGGCTCTTCTTTACAACATCTCCTGGTCACTGACTTTTTAGCCGCTGCTAGTAAAATTTTCACCAAGTATATGTCATTTCCAGAAACCTCCTCTGTTTTCAGGTTTCCCAAATATAATGATTCAAAAGTCTTGGGCAAATTATATCCTAGTATTCTCCTCAACTGTGACCATACATCCTCCCAAAAATGTTTAATTTTACTACATTTACAAAATATATGCACATGATCAGCATTAGATTTATGATTCTTAATACTTCTTAGTATCCTGGCTAGGATTTGTGGGTCACATCTTGGACCTGTAGATGTTTCCTGTGAGAATAACTTTACGTCATGCACCTGGCTTGTTGGATTCGCTCGTTACACAGAGTGTTATTCTGCAAGCGTGTTCTGACTGATTCAGCTTTCAATCATGCTCTTTCCAGATGGATCTCTGACCCCTCATTTCAATATATTTGCTTATGAAATCCAGGGATAAATTAGATCCACCTGCCACATGAAAAATGCACATGGACTCACAGACAAGATACAAATAGGACAGTTATAAACAAATGCAAGGTGTAAAATCACATTTTTATTGGTTCCATACAAAGACACATTTTAGTACAACAGCAATAAATAAAATAATTTAAAAAAACATGTTCATATGTTCAGACCTCCATGGTTCCAATCATTGAGCTGTTTCAGCAGCACTATTTCAGAGCAGAGAGGTATACATGAAGCAAAAATCAATTTAAATAAGGATCATACTTTTACAAGAACCCAAATCTACAGAACTATAAGCATTAACACCTCATACATTCATACTCATTAATCAATGCAAAAGTGGAAAAAACCCTAAATGAAATTTCAGTGTAACAGTGACATCAAGAGTACAGCACAATGTATACATACAATAAAGGTTAGCGCTTTACAAAATACTGAAAGCCCGAGTGAGGACTGCTGCTCGTCCCTTACAAATCGGGGACGGCCACTCAAACCTTCCAGATAAAAAGATAGGATCACACTAGAACAACATGGTCATGCACTTTTCCTGGAAGGTCTCATAAGGAACCACAGAACTGGGAGGGGCTGCCTCCATGTTTCAATCCCTACCTCTCCGCCCATTGCCACAATGTGTCTCTTCAACAGTCTATTATATACAGAAAGATACACGTGTAAACTGTCACCTATACACATAACTTTCAAGTGTCTTTTAGTGGACTTTTTGCCAGTTAGGCAGCCAGGGAATCCCAAGCCTCAAGTACAGACAGAGCCTTCAGTGCGATGTGCTTGGTGGTCATTACCCCAGTTCACTATACTGGGTTCTGTTGTACAGGGGACCACTGAGCCCACTGCAGCCAAAACGATTCCGCCTTAATCAGACTGCCGCTTTAACAAGACCTTTCTGTGCCTATTTTAGCAACAACAACAACAAAAAAAAAAAACACACACAGGCCCTTTCCTGAACTCCAGACTTTCCCCACAAGCCTTTGGGAAGGAATTCCTGAGATCAGTTTTGGCTGGCTTCTGGTATAGTGGGGTTTGCAAAAAATTTCTTTCCCATCAGTTGGCAGAGACAAGGGCCGGAAAAAAGGACCGGACTCAAGTTACATGAGGCCAGAGAGGAGAGGCTTGAGACAGCAAGCACACGGCAGTCACAAGGGGGCAGAATGGCTGAAAGCGGCAGGTCATAGAGGTTAACGCTGTGTTATACCGAGCCTGGGGCAGAAACACAACACTGTTCCCCAAAGTGTCTTTTAATAGTTCTAGTGTAAAAATTGACCAACTCTTTGCTGTGTACACAGGACCTGGGCACAGCTCACAAAGATTACAGAGCTTGGTGGAGAGTGACTTCTCGTAATCTGAAGTCATCACCTTCGGTAGATGTTAGTATTACAAAAATTCCTCCCTTAAGAGGAACTGGAATGAAATGTGAAAATCGTAAGAAAATGTAGCGTCTTTCAAGGTTAAGAAGATGACGGAATGCTGTCATTTTGGTCGTGGTTGAGGTTCTCTCTGAACATTAAGGTACCCAGAGGACTAAAGGAACAGGGAGCTGTCTCATGCAGAGCCCAGGGGAATCAAGGGTTCCAGACTTTTACAGCTGGGGCCCATATTTACTAAGCTATCGGCTTATTTCAATAGGTAATAGACATATTGAGTTTGCAATTTTACTTTAAAAACATTCTGACCAATAACATTTCAAGCTCAGTTAAAGTGGCAGTTACTACTTGGTTTACAGATATGGGCAATATGTGGGCAATTTTTTTTCTTCATGGCACCCAACAGTTTCATTTGCATTACCTTTACCGTTACATATGTATTTAATCAATTTCCACATCATTTACATTCAAATGCATATGCATGCTTACAGACAGCTAGTAATAAAATCACTTCCTTTATGAAATATGACACATACATATAGCATTGCAGAGCCATTATTCTGCCGTGTCTAAACCATGGGAAATGCCTAGTAAATATGGGCCTTTGGGGTGACGGGGTCCGGGGGAGGCTTTGTTCTGGACATTCAGCTAGCAAAGGATCTGACCGTGGCCTTAGACCCAACAGGGCACGGCCGGAAAGAGGGGCGGGGCTTTCCTCCGCTTCTCATGCGGTGCCAGAAGAATATCAGTGCGGCCACGACGCCGGCCCACTCCTGCAGGGCTACCTACACCCTCACTGCAGGGCTACACTCTCACTGCCGGGCCCCCGGAGGCAGTCAGGGGCACCGTGGAGCCATAATCATAGTCCAGGTCCATGGTAGTGTGAGGCCCCCCCGTGAGCCGCCCACGAGGGTATCTCCGTCTGTCCACCTGCCTGTCCTGAAAACTCTGGATGTAACTCTGCGACAAAAACAGATACAGAGATGCACGTTTCAAATGCTTTGTTTAATAATTAAACATGCTTTACTATTCACTATACATTTCGTAAAGGAAGCTGATTATTTTATAATGTAACTAAAACCAATACATCAGTTTTCCAACTGCTTGCCCAGTACAGGACGTGGCAGCTTTTAATGGTTTATTAATTATTTAATTTAAACAACTGCTAAGGAACATTATGATGGGTCCATGCTAGACCATTATCAGCAACGGCCAGGAATACTTACTTACTACAGCGCTATGCTCCCTGGTTGCCTAAGAAACCAACATTTTTGTTTGTTCTTAAACTGATTGGGTGTCTGCCTCACCGGTGACAGCACATCGCCGTCGAATCGGCGAATGGGGTTGGGCTTCCTGCGGTAGGCGGGGTCTGTGGGCAGCGGCTTGGCCGAGTGTGTGTGCGTGGCATGGGGCTGCGGTTCCTGCTGCTGCGGCTGCTGCTGCTGCTGTTGCTGCTGCTGCTGTTTCTTCTTCTTCCTCTTCCTCCTCTCCCTCCGCTCCTCCTTCTGACGTATCCGCATCAGCTGAATTCGACGCTGCTGCCGGCTGATGATCACTAACGGGACGGCAAGTTGTCCTTAGTGCTAGCAAGCAGTTTTGGTCACACACACACACACACTCAGGTCTGTACTGATATTTTGTGTGGGACTCTCCATTCATTTCTATGAACATAACCGTATTCCCAACAAGGACAACCTCAACCCCTACCCAGCCCTAACCTTAACCATAAGTAACCAAATAAAACACAAGACTTCTGGCATTTTTTTGTTTTTGACTGCACTCATAGATTTTTATAAAACTGAGTTTCCCCTTGTAGGAACAGAAAAATGTCCCCACAAGGTCAAAATAACAGGTTATCACATTGTTTGGACATGGGGTCCCCACAATGTAATATATACAATATATATATACACAATATACACACACAATTATTATGGACACCAGCTGTTACTGTCACACTTGTAGACACACACATTCATACACAAACACTTTGGCTGACAGTGTATAAAAGCGCCACATCAAAGTTCAGCACCACATAGACACTTTATAGTTTCATACTCAAAGTTCTGAGAATTAAACCCTGAATCAGGCTGCTCTGTGTGGAAGGTCACACTCTGCATATGAACAGGCTGTTCTCTGAATCCACCAAAACTTCAATAACTTTGCATGTAAGGAGAAGCAGCTGCATGTTTCTGAAGTAAAGACTTTTTTGTCACCCTATCAAAGACTCCTCTCTTCTTTCTAGTTTGGTTCAACATATTCAAAATTCACATTCAATATTCAACATTCTCTTTCCTTTGCGCAAAGAAAGTGAGTTGTGAAGCATATCAGCAAGGAAGGGACATTATCACTGTTACCCGAACAGCCCTGTGCTGAATAAGTGTTTTGAAGGTGGATGGATGGACGATCACCGCTAAGCTTTGCTCAAACAAGCTGTGACAGCTTCTCGGGCACATTTGTAGTTGCCATTGCATGAAACGCTAGACAGAGTGAAAGCTTTGCCTTCTGACACACAGGACGGCCCTAGAAAGCTGCCTGACACATTTCCTCTTTCATTCTCATTATTTTTAAGGTGTCCCATAATAGCACCGACTGCAAGAGACAGTTCTGCTGCTTGTTTTGATGACTTCCGCTGCCCCCTCTGTTGCATCATCAGAACTTTTAATCCAGTCGTGGCAGTGGGTGTCGCCATGGCGACGGCCTTATGGCAGCTGCTTTGTGCTCGCTCTTTGAACCGCGGGCTTCTGTTACACAGTGGGGCATGATGGGAGTGTTAATCTCACACCGCGAGAGTAAGTTGGAGGGGTTATGCTCATGTCACACACCGAAACAGTCCTTCAGAACTCCACATAATCACCACTCTGCAAGTGATCTCACAGAAATGCAGGTGATCTTAATCCACATCACTAATAGCTGCTTTTCCCCCCCAATATAACTTCGCAGCTTGACCAAATTAATAATCAAGAGACTTACCCTCTGTGTGAGAGTACCCCTCCCCAGTGACTTTCCACTGGATCACGATGCCCAGCACCGTGAGGACGGGCCACACCCCCAGGATGACCCAGGTGAACCAGCACACAGGCTGGGCCGGGGCCACCTTGATCCGCTCGTAGACGTGGTGCACCAGCGCGAAGAGTTCGGCGAAGTAGTCGACGGTGACGGTGATGACAGCGGACCCGAAGACGGCGGTGGAGAGGGTGGTGAAGCAGCGTTCCCAGCGGAGCGCCAGCACGGCGAAGAGCATGCCGGAGCCCAGGAGCATGCCCAGCGGCACCCAGACCGTGCGCGGGTGGTAGAACTCCTCCATGGTCAACAGCGCGGCCACCGCCACCAGCAGCCCCAGCAGCAGCCCCACCATGAAGAGGCCGACGCTGCGCACCAGCATGGTGACCAGGCCGCAGAGCACGCCGATGCCCAGGCCGATGCCCGCGCTGGCCTCCGCGTTCAGCTGCGTGTCCAGCACACGCTCCTTGTAGCACAGCATGAAGATGACAACGGAGCCGAACATCAGGCCCGTGAGGAACATCACCGCCTTGAAGCAGCGGTAGCCTTGAGGGAGGAAGAGCAGCCAGAACAGGAGGAGGATGTGGAGAGGAACAGAGGGGGTAGAAAGGGAAAGGAAGTAGGGGGAAAGAGACAGGAAGAGGAAGCCAGGGAGAGGAAAACAATGTTCATGAGCTGGTGGAAACTGCTGTATGAAGATAGAGAGCTGTGCAGCCACACCAGAAAGCAACATCCATCCAAGGTTTTTGTAGCTTATTTAAGATTCAAAAATAAGATGCTCATCCAGTGCTTCTTTGCCAGAGTCCAATCGGTGTTAAAAAACTGAGGTAGATCATAAAGGCACCATTTGGTTTGGACATGTTATTCAGTCCAGCCGAATAGTGCACAGCCCCTCGTGACCCTGAGGCACCCCCCCTCCCACACACACACACACACACACCCACCCACCCCCAAGAAGCAGAGCTTACCAAAGAAGCAGTAGATCATGCCGAAGAGGCAGCACATGGAGCAGACGACCGAAGGCACGATCTCGTACCGCCGCTCGATCCGCTCCTCGCAGCTATAGAACCGCTCGGGGCTGCTGTCCCGTGCTGGGGGGGCCAGCTTGAAGGCCAGCGTCTGCAACGTGGACGTCATGGCAACGCGAGCTCAGCGGCAGAGGTTGGGGGGGATGATTAGGGTGGGACCAATTAGGAAGCACTTCCCATTCACACGGGTCACCTGTGGAGACAAAGGGCAGAACGTAGGATTGGCAAACACCCTCTTCCTACATCCTCATTAACTTCCACAGGCACCAACTGAACAAATACTAAAAAGGGATGTTTGAGGGGGAAAAAAAAAAAAAACTTGCCCCTCTCTTGCCCCTGCGTCAGTAGATTTTTAATCTTCCCTTCACGACAGTCGTCCCTGACCTCCGTTGGCAGACTGTCGGCGGTGCAGGTTTGTGAGATGTCATCCAGTAACCTTCCTGAAAAAGCCACAAGTTACACGTTAGTCTCTGCCTGCCAGGTTTTTCTTACATCCCATCTTATCTCTCCTTATCCACACACTGTATTTCCAGTGAACCATCACTGGAACTGCAAGTGCACGATTGATGGACGCGTATAATGACAGTAACTCCAAACTCAACAGAAGGGGCTGCTGGTCCGCAACTGTGCTCTGACTCCCAGTCCATGACCCTCCACTCTCTACAGAACGGCATTATGCACGACAACAAGAACACACAGATGCATAGTGAAACATCATTATGAAAAAGCATCATAACACAAAGTGAGTCACCATCGTGACAATCGTCATACACCCACTAAAATGACAGACTTCGATTCCTGTGACATATGAGAGATGAAAAATAAATGAGCCCCGCCATCTGGCCTCCAGGCGTACCCTGTCCTGCTTACTTTGTCCTCCCCATATTCTCAGCCCCTGACGTGATTTTTGTAAACAACTACAAAATAAGCCTTTACATCAAACACAGCTACAGTATTTCTTTCATAAAAGGATTGTTTTCTCTAATTATACAAATGAACTCTGCTGATGCCACTGAGCTTAGATACGCTGCAGAAAAGCAGTTTCCCTGCTAGCAAATGAACCTGTCACATGTGCAGTGCCTTAACCACAGTGCCACCTGCTGACCGTGTTTTTTTTACCACGCTACCAACTTTCATCTGCCCCAACCACAACCTTCTTTAGTGTCACGTTCTCCAGAGAACCACTGGTTCTCCAGGTTGAGATGCTAAAACTAATGCCACCATAATATTACACTGTCAGTACAATATGAAACCAAAATGTGTTTACCACCAAACTGCGGTTTGCAGTTACTACAGACTGTTAGCATTAGAAACAATGCAAGGAAACAATATTCATTTTGCCGAAGTGACACCATTCTGGATAAGCAGTATGGAAGCTGGATGGATATTTATTTGCTTTGTAATAAACAAATACTCACATTAAAATCATTATCACAGCAACCTATAAAGGTTCCGACTGGTAAATTTTACATTAATATTTAAAACCCTAAAATACATTGCAACAGTTCCTTAAAGTCCAACAATGACTGCAATGTATGCAATAATGCTTTATTTCATGATACCTTGAAGTATAAGAAGATTTTTATACACAGAAGAAATGTCAGCATGGGAGACAAATCCCCAGATCACAAGAGTGGGTTCTTATTTGTTCAGCCCCATGCTGGACAAAAGAGTGAAACATAAATAGCACTTCTGTGGTTCTGGCCCACTCCCTGCTGACCTGGATAGACCAATCTCCAATTCCTTCTTCTACAGCACCGCTTGTTCCATGACAGGACAGCGTGAAGCTCAGTCAGGGCGCGTTCTGTGCCATTTCACAGCCTTGTGCTTCGAGAGGGTAACAAAACAGATGTGAGGGAAATGAGGCTGGTTTTAAAAGCTCTTTGCAAAACCAAAATCATGCCAGTGTTCTTCTCCTCTTAAAGAGAAAGGAAAGAGGTTCGTGAGGCATGAAGGCTTTACAAACTGAACTAAACTGAATTCTCAAGCAGCTGAATTACCCTTCACCTGCCAAACATGCTAGCCTGAAATTACTGCACATCACACTAGCAAAAAGTAATTAAGTTGATTTGAATTTCTGAAGTACTGGCACAAGGTGCCAAACAGTGGCAAAATACAGAGATTAACATGAATAAACAAACCAGAACCCTGTAATAACAATTAATTATTATTAATTGTGAGCTTAGTGACTTGGAGGGTAGTATTACGGCCACAGGCCCAGGTCTGTGGGTGCGATTCCCGCCTCTGGGCACATGGATGCATGTTCTCATGTGTTGTGTGTGTTTGCTCTCCCAGTTCAAAAACATGCCATGAAACAGTGCCTCTAAATTGTCCATGAGACTGTCAGTAAGGGTGCTTCCTGGGACATGATCCAAGCTAAAGGCAATCCTAGACAACTGATACAGGAAGGTGGATTACTTATATTGTTGATGGGGTTTTTCTGCTGTTTTGTTCTAAGTTCCATGTAAAGTGGCCAATGACAAACCACAGGGTTCCACAAGCTGGATAAACCTACCATGCTGGAACTCAGGAGAGATAGAAGGATTTTAGTAGGCAAGCAGCTTAACCACAAAAGGCACCTACTCTTATACCCACCTGCCAGTTAAGCTCTAGATTTCCTGTCAGACTTCCTCTCAGGCATAAATTCAAGAACGTCTTTGACAAAGTTTGTCTTATTGCTAAATTCTGGGTTACTAAGCTGAACTTGGTCAATGGAAAAAAGAACCTGAAGCTCATAGCAACCAATTCCTTCAGCAAATCAGTATCTTTGCTGGTGTCTGCTGACTTCTCCAGCAAATGTCTCTCCATTTCCTTTAGATATATCTGTGTGAACAATGACTCAGCAAATATTTCCAACAGCAGAAAATTTTGACCAATCCCCGATTAACTGTTATTTATCAAAAGTGTGCTTCTTACAGCTACGGAACATTGCCAAACCGCAGCATTTTCTCACTATTCAAGACATTGAAAAACCAATAAATGCTTTTGTATATAGCAGATTAGACTACTGTAATGCTCAGTCACCATGAGGCACACACTCTACATTACACCTCACAATGTATTTACAATGTAGCAGCAAGAATTGTCAGCACAAGCGGGAAGTTCAAACACAAAAGCTGCTCTTAGTTCCCTGCACTGGCTTCCTGTTAGCTTCAACTTCAAAGCTCTCCTACCTACATACAAGGCACTCCTCAGAGGTTTAGCACCAGCCTACCTTACACAACTGATCCAAGTTTACAAACCACATCGAACACTCATATCACAGAACACAGGCTTCCTTGCCATCCCACATATAAAGCAACAGCTGTACAGCGCTCTGCTACAGGAGCCCTACGTTAGGGAAGAGTCTGCTACCTCATGCTCAGGATGCCAAATTGGTCCGTTTTTAAATCCCAGTTGAAGACCATTTACTTTAGTCCTGCTAGTCGCACATTAAAGCATAACACTGTAACTATGCCCCTTTGGTCTAGTGTTTGTCCATCAATGTGTGTATGAATTTTCTGGGCACCCATGTCCTCTGCTTTCCTCCCCACATGTCTGGATGGTGCCCAGGGAGGGAGTGCTGGTTCAGTCCCATGGAGGCATGACATGGATACAGCTTATGAACTGCGAATGAGGGGTGTGGCCTACAATCTGCTGGCTTATGCAGACCTGCTTGGAGAACAGACTCACAGATGGACTCTGGCTGAACCCTCACTTATTTAAGCAGGCTCATTTTCCTTTGTATTTTACAATGTTAGCATGCCCGGGGTTGGGGAGGGGGGGGCAGCCAGTCAACCTTAGCTTTCTTCCATCTTACTCAGAAGTATTTGGTTCCTTTGCTTCATTGTCTTCTGCCATTCTTTCTTTCCCTCTGACATTCCATTTCGTGCAACATTTTTTGTGTAAATGATAGTAATGGATTACCACTTCCTTGTTCAGCGCCATGTGACGACTGATTTGAAGGTCCTATATAAAAATCGGAAAAAAGATTACTGTAAGGATAACGTGTATGGGCCAGTTTATATTCTATGCTTGAAGCACATTTGTTCACGCATACTACTGCTATGCAAGTATAGAAGGCCAAAAAAGTCAAAACATGTTCACTTTTTTCACATTATCACGTCAGTTTTGGGCCTGTTAATGTCCACATTTTCCACGTGGTAATGCGTAATAATGCATTAACACATTAAGAATGTGGCCTTTTGACCTTCCATACATGTGGATGTGCTTCCCTACCTCACCATTGTATAAAAACAAGTCGTATGAATCACTTTCCGCTAAAGGGAGTGTTCAGACCATTGTGCAAGCCAACACTTTTTCTATGTTGGGTATTTTTCACATCCGTACATGCTGTCTGTTATTGCTTACATATCCAGTACTCAGCGGTTTCGGAGAAGCCATTTCACAGAATGTGGTGGAGTTGTGCCTAATTCTGCATTTCCACTGGTGCCGCTCACGCTTAAATAATTCCATCCATGTTTTTTTTGCCACTTTCAAGCCTCACCACCCTTAAGGACAACGCAAACAAAAAAGAGAGTAAAAGAATAAAATGATCAACATGTAACGATATTGCTTCAGTACTACTTCAATCCTGGTGTAAATGTGTTTCATGTATCAGGAATGAATAACACAATAGATAATGTGATGTTTCCAAAACATTATACCATTGAGAATGTTATAACTAAATTAATATCCAGAATGCTTCAGGTTTGTGTTTAATAAATATCTAGGCAAGACTTCGACAAGTAATCGTAGATAACTGCTGATATGAATAAAAATGCTATTTGCTTTTTTGTTGTGTGAATTTTTATGAAAAAACAGTAAAACAGTAAAAACAAAATTTAAATGAATGAAAATGAATGTCGTTATATCACACATGACCCAGGCCAACTAAGTATTTTTTGTACTGTAAGGATGGATTGCCCTGTTGATTATCTGTAGTCTGTGGAAAAAGCATTCAAGAAAATTTCATTGTACTTTGTACATGTGACACTGCTTTTAGTTCAGACTGAATTCAGAAGCAGAAGAAACTTAAACCGTCATTAAATTTTGAAGACGCTGCACACAGAGCCACACGATCGTATTGCGTTTTCAGTACCTTCTGGCTACTCATTCTTAAAGGAAAAGAAAAATCAGATGCTACTTTAATACTAACTGCACCATATATAAAACCACAGTCACAGTCCTGTGACCAAAGGTGACCATACTGCCCCCAAGATTTTTGGTGGTACTGCATCTCGTGTACGCGTAGCGTTAATTCCACGCGTAGAAAATAGGCGAGGAAGCCACTAATGTGCAAGCGAATGCATTGAGAGTATTAAGTATAAACCGGCCCTAATAGTTTAGTTTTAACAGCACATGAAGCAACATTAGTTTTAGGACATTAGTTTTAACCACATGAGGCACAGAAGTAAGAGTAGCTTTCCTCTATCCTGGTTACGGCCTGCCTGGGCCTCATGCATATCAGCGCGGGCAGGTGAAAGAACCACAGCAGCTCTAAACTAAACTCATGACTCACTGAAGAAAAGAAAAGAAAAAAAAAAAAAGTACTGAAACTGTCTAACCCTGAGTTAGTACCATATACCAGTAAATTAATGCTTAAAAGGGCACATCACTCCTTCAGGACAAGGCATCTACCGTAAGTGCCCGACATGCCCTGCAGGATTGGCAAACCTGTACAGTAGGAAATAGAACTAAATGACCCTGCCCTAGCATTATAGCCGCTCCTGAGCACTTCCTAAATGACCCTGCCCTATCATTATAGCCGCTCCTGAGCACTTCCATGGAGTTACAGTCAGCTGCCTTCTCAGACCTCACCAGGTACTTAGTAAAGCAGAACCCTAACTACTCACCATTAATGACTTACAGTTGTACCTCAGTATACGTCCACTTTGGAATAAGTCCAACTTAAAAATTTTGCTTGGTATACGACCTTTGTTTGGAATACGACTCGCGTGCTAGAACTTGTATGGGTCAAAGTGAGTCACGACACCGCGCGCTACCCTTGTTTACCTCTCGATACAAAGCCACGACTGCCCACAAGCGTCAGTACGCCAGTTGCTACCATTCAGTGAACAACCCGCACTATAGCTCTCTAATCATTTATTTCATGTAATTGCTTTTGTATGTATGTATTTTGGTATTAAGCAGTGTTTAAATTATTTTATACAACTCCATTAATGTATAATATACCAATAACAATAGGTTGTTTTTTCATGGGAACAGATTAATAATTTTCCCTTTATTTCTTAAGGGAATAATTCATTTGGTATACATCCTGTTTGGTATAAGTCCAAGGATCTGGAACGGATTAAGGACATATACAGAGGTACCACTGTATTACTCTTTTTAATGCGGAATGTTCCAAATGTTCTCCTATTGTTAACTCTATAGGTCCCTAAGAAATCATCACATAGGCTGCCCGAACACGCTGTAAAAGCTGACACACTTTTGCAAATTACATTCCGATGTCAGCGTGATAGTTGTATCTGAAAGCGCAGTAGGAAGAAAAGAAAAGTTCAGTGACAAAGGTTACCAGATGGCATGGTATTAGCAAAACAATCGCTACAGCAGGTGACCCAGTATTTTCTGCTATTTTTATATGTGTATTGATTTCAGTTGCTGATGCTGACTACAGTTTTCTTGAGTCATAGGCAGTTTTCATGGGAGAGTTTGGCAACGTTAAACGTATGACTCTCACAAGAAAGTTCAGCTAGCATCCTAAGAATGATGCCAAATAACAAATCATAACTTGCAGTAGTATCCTATTCGTCATTTCTAATGGACTTGATCCGGCGACCTTCTTTTCATTAACACGGCATCTAATGTCCATCATACCTAGAGAGACCTTTTTCATCACTTTCTGGAAGTTTAGTGATTGCTCTTCTCGTGTAGTAAATATATTCCCTCTAAAAAATAACATTTCACAAAAATGATACTCCATCCTCAATCTAAACAGGATCACAGTTTGATCACAGATCTCACAGGCTCACAGTTCTCACTCCTGCATTGTAACCAAAGCAGGGTCCTTAGGGGTCTCTGGGAAGTTGCAGTGCCGACTGTAGCACTTTGTCAGAATTTAGTTAGAATGCCTAAGAGATACTGGTTGCCAGTGATGTGGGATATCTTCCCTATTAGAACTGCATTCATCTTCCTGGCAAACAATAGGCACAAGATAGTGAACACAACTACGGGAATGAGAACTGAAAGAATGTATAGTGGCAGTGATCTTGAATGGGCTACATTCCACAATTGCACGCGAGCTAAGGTTCTCCTGTCTCTCCCCCAACAAGTAGTCTCCACTGGTCCATGCAGCGCAGTTTTTAGGCGCTGCATGGACCAGCTGGAACCTTCTAGGTCCCAGCTGGTGGTAAGAGTTCACAATAACCTACTCAGTGGGTCAAATGTTGTCAGTCGTTCAGCTGACATAACGTCAGAGGTTCTCCAAGGGGCTATAATTTAATGCCAAGAGACTTGAAGAGATTTTGCTGCAAAGCCCTGTAACACAGTGAGGAAGGGTGAGAGTGGAAAATGCAGACAACGCCTTTCCAAATAAAAATCTGGCAGGGACATTGAGAAAAAAGTCAGCAACATAACACACTGCCTACTCCCACTGCAATTTCACGCATGCAAAGCCTCAATGTTTTTGTGGAAATTCATGAAACGTTATTTACCGCAGGTCAGACAGTTCAATGCTGACAGCGAAGACAAGCAGACAGAATCCAACCAGCCATAAAGCAGCGACCTACAGCACAAAGATCCCCGGTATTGACAGTGTGACATTAGGATTTAAGACACCATCCTTGTGGCAGTAAATCCTGCTGCAGGTTTCACTGGGAATGTTGTAGAACAGTCCACGTACCTATGAAAATCCTGGAAATCTATTCTAGATGCACTAGATGCCATTGACAACAAAGAAGATATAAAAATGCCCAACAAGCTAAAAAAATTATTATTTTTTTTTTATTAAATGGAAAAGACACTTGGAATAGTGTTGCAGTTTTCCGGCTTGCTGAGATGCAGGATTCAGTCTTTGTTTGCCAGGGTCCCCCAGATGGCGAGCTCTATGGCAGGACCTGAACCAGGAACAGCTGCTGCAATGACAGTGGTTTCCCAGAAGCCCTAGGGCTCATCTGTGAAGTTGACAAAGAGCCAAAGAGGCTTTCCTAATAGCCTGGCTTAGCCCTCACGCGTCCAGCCTCCCAGTTAGTGTTGACGTCTCAGGCAAAGGCTCGTGTGCACACACCCATCTGGGTCAATAAGTGGAATAACAGGCCAAACCATCACCCTAGAATCATTCTACAAAATCAGACATGAGAATGACTAACACACTGTTCCCTGCTACATGTAAAGCTGAATTTAAATTATGATTGTGCAGTGCATTGCCACAGAAGCATTCACACAGAAATAAGACGAATAATGCCCTTTACAAGGCACAAGTTTTCTTCTATGAATTCTAGAGTGGCAACAAATTTTAACTTGGTTATCGAGCTTAACTATTTTAAAGGGATGTCAGATTTCAAAAGCTGGTGTGAAAGTACAGTAACAAGGTATCCTAGATCCCAAAGCATTTTATCATCATCTTTCTTCTCAGAATAAATGATCAAATTAAATGCATTAAATATTTCTTGTAATAGTGCACACAGCAGTCATTTTAATTCACCATATTTAAATTGACTTGTATATCGTACTTCATTCTGGTGTCTTTCTTTCTCTGTACACAGTCAAAATATGACTCAGTGAGCCCCCCCCCACACACACACACACACACACACACACAGACACACACACATCTCTATTGTTTGTTACTTGAGCAACAAATTCTAACCTATCAGCAGGAGCTGATAAGAAAACTGACAGGAAACCGGCTGGCCATGTCAGGTTTTTCCAGGTTAATGGGGGTGAAGAGCGTAGCTCCGTATTTCACACAGGAAAAAGTGAGCAACCAGCAAGCCGACACCAATCACTGTCCTTCCCAAAATGCACATGCCTCACCACCCATTCTCACACTGTTCTTATATAACTGCCATAACTGGGCAAATACCACAACTTTTGCACTATTTTAAAATAGTTTTATATTATTCATTTCAGGCACCCATCTTATGGCTAGTTGCTCTCTATATTCCACCAGCACATTAAACTGTTAAACAAACGCTGTCACTGTTCAGACAGCACACAATGTCTCATGCAATTGCAGCCTGTCCAGTCTACATATACATCACAGACAACCTCCACGGTTTGCAAAGGCTGTACAGTGGCCATATTTTGTTCTAGAAAAAAATGCAACTCTAAATCATTTTACAATGTGGACAAATGCCCAGAAAACATTAATGAAGTACGTATTAATTCCAAAAGCTACATTAGAGAATGAAACTTCTACTTCAGTTCTTATGCTGCCCTATTGCTCACTATTAACTGTACAGATAGTTTACCGGGCAATTCACAGTGACATGCAATATATTTAGAGACAATGATCAGTAATATATTCGTAACATTATATCCCCCCCAACCTCACAACCATAACCTAGTTCTCTCTCTATCCCACAGAGTTTTTGGTAATAATGATACAACATGAATTGCCTTTTCAAAAGTACCATTAATAATGCATGCCATTAAACTCTGAAGTGCTTAAATCAACTGTTAAAATCTGTTTTTATATCAGAAGGGTTTAGTATCAAAAATGTGTGTGTATCATTAAGGAATTTGTTTACAAAAGACAGTCAATGCTGTCAGCATATTTGCAACCCTCAAACATAGGAATCACCATCTAAGCCCAACTGCTGGTAAAGTGCCTGTATATCTCACCTGCCTGCAATCTGATGCACTAGACCAAAATGTGAGCAAATAATAATAATAATAATAATAATAATAATAATAATAATAATACCTGTTCTGCTAGAATAACAAACCAATTCACTACAACACCCCAGAATAAAGACCAGTCTCCTTTCACGCTTGCATTCACAAGCAAAGGTATGCACCTGTGGAACAAAAGTACAGGCTTCGCATAGGATTATCCCATAAACATGTCAGTGGCCACACACTCACACACACGCAGCAGTCCAGAAGACAGCACGTAAACTATATCTGTCATACACAAGCCAAGCACTGCAATTAAATCTTCCGTCACGTCAGAAATAGGCCTATTGGCCTGAAAAGAATGGTAGCAATACCGTAAACTTACATTGCTCTCGAGGAAGGGGTGTTTGACATACGTTAAAGATATCCACGGCTGATGTCTCTTTCTCCTTGTCCACCGATGCACATACCAACTTCTGAATCAATCGTGTCCCCACTTCTTTTTAAAATCCTCCGAGTTCCGCCTCTTCGTTTATCTCCATTCATTACAATAATATTCGGTGTATGCTAACAGACGCGTTACAAAATGATGAATAAAATCTGAAACGAACATGAACAGGCATGGTTTAAGTTCAGGGGTATCTACTTAAGAAATATTCATAGCACTCCTCCGCATTGTCTTTGTTGCTGTGGGATTTGAAAACGTTTTAATAAAGGCGATTGATTATACATAGTCTCACCACACACATCACAACATCATGTACTGTGCGAGAGACGGCAAGCAAAGGGTTAATCCGGTTCGCTTGTTTACACACCGCCACGCTTATTTCACTAAACAATAAAGACCAAAATATTTACGATCAAATTAATAAACCGTTATAAAAGATGAAGTCACCTGGAAAACAATTAAACTAATAAAGGTGATAATTAAAAAAATTCTTATGGTTTACTCGGTGCAAATAACACAAAAGACAGTAAGGAACGGCACGATGAATGAACAATAGGTGTGACAGAAACATTGGCCGGACTGATCGCAGTTATCTGAAGCGATAAATGCTCATTTAGGTTTAAGGGTCGTAATGAATACGTGGGTGTTTGGGTTACGATTAATGAAGGAAAAAAACACCAAACCGCGTACTGTATCGTATAGAAGTGCGGTTCCATTAACCGACGTTAAAATAATTTCTATTATTTGGTTAGTAAATCGGCAGAAATCCAACGACAGCATCTCTTTATCATACTCAGTGTATTATGTATTTATAATCCCCACATCGAAAATAGGCTCGCTTAAACCGCCTTCGCCCATTCTTTACATTCCAGCAATTCCGTGCCGTTTTCTCCCCGTTAACAAAGATGAGAGGCGCATCCCCACTCACCCCCACTTCAACTCAAGACCGAAGAAATACCGCTGCCAGAAACATCGCTGCTCCCACCGCTTTAACTCGCTGGATCTGAGACCCGCATCTCCGGCAGATCAGCCCGCTCCCCATCCTAAAACGCCGCGGGTCGGCGGTCCCCTAGATCCAGCTTTCTGGTGCCTTTTCCAATCGCGGCGCATTAAAACAAAGACCCCGAAGCGAGTGTTAGGGTAATATCACCTCGCCACGTACAATCATATCCGAATTAACCTGGAGGCTTAACAGATAATACCGAGCGATAATGTACACCTGACAATATCCAGGGCCTTAATTCTATTATTATTACCACTAAAACTATTTTACGCCCATTTGTAGGCTCCTCCTTACTACCCATACAATCAGCGATGCTTATATAGGATATTCAGTGCAATCCACCAAAGAGGAACTTCATTTAGGTTGGAGTGTACCATTACAGGAAGGGCGCAGGGCTGAGGAACATCAAAATACGAGTGGGGGGAAATATGAGAAGAAACAGCCGGATATTTGAATTCTGCATGCATTCTGTATGACATAACTACATCAGTGATCCGGTAGTATTAAAACTGTCAGTGATGTAACTATTAATGACAATTAATAACACGTGAAGTATAAGTATGAAAAATTATGATTTATTTATTTTTTTCTAGTATACCACAATCTCTGAAAGTTGCAGACTATGGAACTGCCGGAAGATTCTCCGGAGCGTGAAACCTGCTCAGCAGTTCTGTGAAGATGGCAGGCATCAGTGGAAGACAGACAGGCTGGTGCTTAGTCTGACTCGTGGTTGGAACTGTTAAGCTTATCAACATTTATGGGTCAAATTCCAAGATGAGTGATGCTCTGTACCAAAAAAGATGTGTGTCATGTCTTGAGGGAAGGGTTTTACACAGCTGCTTGAAAATGCGGTATATACTTGTTATTTATAGCACACCATGTATACCACTTTATAAATGTTATTCTATTTAACCAGAGGTGGAAAGTTTAGGTTCAGAAAGTAAAAATCCAGACCACAATTTTGTTTTAACGAAACAGTTGATCATATATAGCTGCATTCACAGAGTACTCAACTGGTTGGTTGGAACAAAACCTTGATTTGGATTTGTACTTTCTGGACCTGAACTTTCCAACTCTATATTTAATTATCATACAATTATATACAACGGTTTCTAACACTCCAGACTATTTAGACTTCTATTTTGCACTTTTGGATTAGATGCCAAAACTGCATTTTGTTGTTTGCACGCTTGTACTTTATGTAACAACAATAAAGTTGAATCTAATCTAACATAAAAAAGAAAGGAGCTATAGTAACTTGCTGGGGGAGCAAACAAAAAATTAGCTATAGGAGTCATCAGTAGCTAATAGTACTTCCTGTTGTAGCTATTAATTGAGATTGTTTTTTTTTTTTTTTTTTAAGTTTTATATAAAATTTATGACCAATGGAAAAGAATTTGCAATTGAAAAAAAGCTAAATATGCATGTATATAAATGTATGAGTCTTTTAGGTATTTTGTAATATTCAATACTACAATATGGTTTGGAAGCAGAAAATACACATTTCACAAATGGTAATATAGCAGGACAATAATGTTCATTTTTAGACAAAAAAAACTTTAAAAAAAAAGTGCAAATAAAAGCACAATACATCGTGAAACACAGTATACCGGTTTTACGTTACATTCTGACCTCAAGTTACCATACGATTTTAAAAGAAGCAACAGGATTACAAGTATAATTAACAAGTAACTAATTAAAAGAGTGTCATATAAAACATCTGTGGCTCTTCCAGTAGCAAAAAACAGAACTTTTGTAATAGCAATGCTGTATCATTTTGGTAGTTTGCTAATGCACACCAGTCCAATAAGTTGTATATTTTGTTCAGCAGTTTTAATATGACTGTGGCAAGATCGGCAAGATCGGCTAACTAAAGGTAATTACAACGGGAGTATGTTCCGATAAACCTATTGTAAGGCACAAGCACCATAAGGCGATTTAATACAGTACACCTAACCCAACAAACATAATAGCCTAACACTGTATTTCTAATATTCTAATAAGATTACATATTTAAGTAAGAGATGAATGTAGAAACATATAAAAATATATAAAATATATATTATATCAATGTTTAATGGAAAAATTGTTTGAACGTTCCACACTAAAAGAGTTGCGTTCTTTTCAGTATTCCTACCACTCTAGTCCCAGCTGCTGAGAGCTCTCATGTTCTTCTGTGCTGAATCTCCTGCTCTGACAAATATTCTCCACCATTCTGACTGCTCCTGCACCTTAGGCTCGAGGGAGAAAGCGCAGGTTGATGGGTCCAGATGGGATGAGGAGTGTTCGAGTCTTGGGTTCCAGAGTCGTGCTTCTGCTCTCTGGCTGAACCATATAATGCTGCATCAGCTGAGATTAAGACAGGCATTTGGGTGAGGGCTTATGGGTTGGCTGTAGATCCCAGCCACAAGAATGTAGCCATTTTCCATTCATAAAAACTTTAGCTAAGAATGTTGGCATTGACTATAAGGACAAGCTCTGTCATTTTGATTCTTACCCGGGAAAGAGCAAAGTACATCTCCAGCTCGGCCACACGCTTTCCGACACAGGCACGAACTCCCACCCCGAATGGGATGGAGCTGTAGGGGTGGTGCGGGAAGCGGTTTGTTCCCTGCCTGAGCCATCGTTCAGGAAGAAACTGCTCTGCGTTGGGAAACTCCCCCTCATCATGACTTGCGGCATAATGACAGAGGTGGAACTGAGTCTGCCAAGGAAATCATGGGAAAAAAAGGAAAGAAAAACACATCAAGAAATATGAAGAAACAAAGTTGGAGGGGGAATATGGAGGAATTCCAAGACCATGAGCCTGCCTTTTTGGGAAACCAGTAGGTGTCTACGACGACTTCATTATCCACTGTTAGGCGTCCATTCCCCGGGACCACCGGATATAACCTGGGGATAAGATGGAAAACTAAATACAACCTAGTTTTATGACTTTGTGAGATGTTTCCCATCACACCAGGCAACAATAACAGACATAGTTTTGTGAAACTTCACATGTGGAAAAAGAATGGGAAATGGCTTTGGTTCTTGATTTTATCACTGTCAAAAGTCCTGCTGTCTATATTACAATGTCCTATTTAATTGAGAATTTAAATTACAGTTCATAATTCATCTGTATCTGAATCACATGATACATGTACATGATTTTTTAAATATAACTGAATTGCCTTTTTAGTTAAATTAAATTCTAATGTAAATTTTCACTGAGCACACTCCAAACTTCTATGAATCTCTGTTCTTATGGCTAGGATGGAGCAGAACATTACAGATTGTTGTGAAGTGAAGTGAAACTTTATGCACACATAAACTATGCAATAATACATTTTTAAGCAGTACAATATACCAATATGTTCAAGTTACATATGAACCAGTCCCTGACCTCAGCATTGAAGAATACATGGAAAATACTCTGAAAACAGTTTAAAAAAAAACTGCAAACACGGGATGAGATGAGTGGATAATGTTGCGGCAGGGGTGCTACCTGAGTATCTCCTTGATGACAGCTTTCAGGTACGGCATCCTGGTCAGGTCTTCTGTCGTGGGTAACCTCCGCTCTGGGCACACTGAAGACACTTCCTGATACAGTCGCTCCTGTGCTGCTTCATCCCGGGCCAGGTGGTACAGTGTCCAGGACAGGGTGTTGGAGGTCTGCAGAACACGGGAGGGAATATGTTCACTGAAATGATGCCACCAGCTGGCTGTCATGAGCGTCTGATGCTACGCTAGAGACATATTTACCGTATCAACCCCTCCCAGCAGCAGCTCTGTGATGCTAATGTAAATCTCTGCCAGGGACAGCTTGCCAGAGGACAGCAGGTAGGTCAGGTACATCCCCTCCACCTGCTCCCCCTCTTCCACCTTGGCATTGATCTCATGCACCTTTCTGTTGATTAGCTTGCGTGCTACAAGTACACATACATGACCTGATTACAAATCAGTCACTGTAATACCACTGTCACTATTTTATCTTCTTTTTGTCAGTTTGACTACTTTTTCGTACATCATCCTTTTTAAACGATATAATTAAATTATTGGGTTATTGGGTCTCCATCAAAACCATATCCTACCCACGTCATAGAGGTCATCCCAGGCCTGAACAAAGCGCGCCCAATAGGGCAGAAAACGTCGAGTCCAGCGTGGGAAGAAGAGGACTGTTTCTGAGAGTGCCAGCATTTCACCCACTGCAGCTATGAAGCGCTGCGTGTCCTGGGGAATGTCCTCCTGGAGACAGCCGAGTCGGGTCTCGAACAGGATGGAGGAGATGCCTGGAGAAGGTCAGTCAGGGATGAGGAGAGAGGCGTTAAAACAGACAGCGACCTACAAAGCGTAGGACATTGGTCCAAGAGTGTGATCACATTAAAGGGACCTTAACTTGAACAAAGTTTACAGTCTGCGGAGCAGGATGAGCACCAGACCAGATCAAAAATCAAACAAAAACAAAAACAAAAAAAATCACATGTACCAGAGCATGTGAGCGGAGCGTGAGCGAGGAGCAGAGCGGTCAGAATTTAGTCAGAGCGCGGAGCGGTTTTTTTAATTAAGGCTGGAGCGGTCGCTCTGTCTCGCTCCAATTTCGCTCCGATACCGCTCACACTACGATTCTGAGGCGTGCCCAAATCTACCCAGAATTCATCTGTACAATTATCAAGACGAGATGGAATTCGGAAAGTATTTCACAAAGGAAACTGATAGATCATACAAGTGTAATATTCTTATCAAACGTAAAGATGACAATAATGTAGAGCAAGAATAACAAGGTGGTGAAACTGTTTCAGTGAGTACAGATTCACTTTGGAATCATTTTTCTCAGAAACACTAGAGTGTTTTATGCGAACAGACGGAAGCCAGAGCAAAACAACAACAACAACAACAAATTTATTTTTGTATAGCGCATTATCACAACATTACATTGTCCCAAAGCGCTTTACAGCATCCCCACCGTGAGCAAGTTTTATATGCCAAAACGTGAGCAAGTTTTATATGGTTGTAGTATATCAAGTCTATAAATTAAAGTATAAAATCCTATATTGGTAAATATTGGTAATCAAATAAATTCGTTGTCATTCAAAGTAGGTCTAATAGGATTTTTTAAATTTCACGTAACGCTGTTAGTGAAATTTTATTTTATAGAGACGCAGCAGCAGCATCAACAGAAAAATTGAGGAATTTAAAACGTAGATGCTTGTATATTCTTTAGACTATTAAGACCATTGATTCCTTTATTTTGAAACCTATTTTTGTGTGGAATGCCATTGCCAAACGTGTCCGTTGTTGCCTATATATGTTGCTTAAAAATAAATATTTTCTGAGTGGCAATGTTGCAGGTTGCTCATATTTCTTTATGATATAAGGCTTCGGTTTAAAGTGACATTTGTTAGGCATGCAGGTTATTTGTCCCTCTTTTAAATTGGAGCGAGCGTGGAGCGATTTGACTGGAGCGGGAGGAAATTTTAGTGGAGCGAGGAGCGGTGTTGATCGGAGCGGCTTAGTGCGAATTAGAGCGGAGGAGCGGGCGGAGCCAACAGCCTCGTGAGCGAGGAGCGGAAATTCTCACCGCTCCACTCCGCTCACATGCTCTGACATGTACAGAAATAACGGTATACAAAATCCACAGTTTGAAACAAACCTCAGTTTTGGATTCACAGTTCAGTGCAATTTCACTATAACAAGGAAAACAGAATTTTAAAAAATCATTTATTATCAAAACTGCACACATAGTTAGAAACAGTTGTAAACCATAGGCAATGTGGCTGTTCGCATGTCTGAATGCGAAAACCTGTAGATGCTTATTTGCACATTGTAAAAATAAATAAAAATTCATAAATAATACTGCATTATGACAATCATAATCAACTACATCCCATCTAAGTCCCATGTTCTCCACTCCCAACTACGCTCGCATATCTGTAACCATAAACACCACTACAGCTGTAGTTATTTTTTAGCCCAATATGAATTTACTGGTAAAAGTGACTTAAATACTATGGGAGACTAATTTGCCGAGGCTGTTCCTGCCTGCTCCAGTCGTACACACACTTGGATGATGTTGTCTCAAATGAGTTGGCGTGTTGGATGTGTTCCAGCAACTCATCTGAGTTCAGTATAACACAGGTATAAGGCAGTCTCAACAACTACTGTTTTAAATCATGAGAGGGGGATATAAGGCTCTCGAAGGAAGAGTTGTGGAAGCCATGAGGGTCACTGACCTTCAAAGCCAAATCTGTAGAGCTCTCCAGCAAGGTCGCTAACCGTGTCCTGGTCATGGCTCCTCAAGCGCAGCAGTTCCAGACGTCGTAGCAGGTCACCCACAACCTGGTGAATCACTGGGGCGTACACGGATACTTCCTTCACCTTCAGCATCTTGGGGTTCAGGACGCTGCGGATGCGATACCACTCAGGACCTTTACTGAGGGAAAAAAAACATGGAGGAGGTTTTTAAGGAGGCAGAGTGGCACGATACGCTGTCTGCCAGCAGTGGTACCATTCAGAAACGCAGTAAAAACAGGAGCCCTCACTCAACATGAAGTCCGTAAGCTTGACCCCGCAGGTCACGGTACTCCTGCCAGTGTGGCAGAAAGGTCCGCACTGGGTACTGGCCCTCCTGCCGGATCACCTGCGCTATCAGCTCTGGGGTTGCCACATTAACGATGTCAAAAGGGCCAAAACGTGAGCGCCAGATGGGCCCATATATTCGGCGATGTTCAACCTGGGGGTTAAGGTTATGGTAAAGATCATGAGTTCAAACGAGAGGTACTGAGTGATTACAGTGAATCTTTAAACTACTTCTCTGACCTCTAAAAATGTGTTAAAATTATTTTGGGCAAACTCAAAACACACAAAAAATTCTGTCTTGGAGAAACCAAACCTCACAAGTGGTTTTAAAATAGTAATATCTAGATACTTTTCCTTCCAGCTGACAGGACGTCCTCTAAGCTACTAGATCTCTTTGCGAGTCAATGTTGAAAATTCAACATTCAGTATGCTGCCACATCTAGCTTCCTACCTGAATGCAATTCCTGTCCAAAGTCAAAATATTTTTAAAACACTCAGAGATGGGCAGCATTTCAATGAGACATATTTAAAGTATGCATTCCATTACTTCTGAGTATTTTGTAAGCAGACGTCAGATGTAAGTCAGATGCAATTAGTAACAACATACTTTCAGAGACTGTATTTTATGTATTTAAAATACTTAATAAAATATGTCGTTTTATTTCTTTGTTTTTTGTCATTTTAAGAACCTTCATCAACAGGCTTACAGACTTTTAAATATAGCTTTTCACCGTCTTGGGTAGAACTTCGTTGCGAACTTCGTTTCCCATGAGCGGTTATCCAAGGAAAGAAGCTGCTTTGATACTCCGTGCAAATTGCTTTAAAATAAAGTAGCCTACGTAGTCGCCCGCTAGTGACATTCTAGTAAATTTCAACAGGCATGCGCAGCCATGCAGTGGCATCTTGCGGTTTGTCATATATGGAAGACTTTATTAGCAATAAATCAGGCTAGCTACTTTTGTTCCTAAGGAGAAAATAAATTTCTATCAACTAACCGTTGAGGTTTTTATAGTATAGTAAAAAGGAGATCCAACTTGACGTTGAATATATGCATGGTTCCGTTTTTTTGAGCGTACATCTGGAAAAAGAGTTAACGCTTTGTGTTTGTGCATGTTCGACACCCTACTGTAAGACACAGAAAGATATTCATGCATGCAAATTAAGTGTTGGTGTGCCATCGCCACTAATGCTGTGGGACACACTGGGCATAAAATAAGAGCGGTTCTGAAACCGAGACCGAAACCGCCATACAGAACCGCGACATGCTGCAGGTTCAGCAAGTTGCCGGCAAGCTTAGTATTTTATAAACATTACACATTAAAAAGAAATTCTTTAACGATACACATATTCGTCGTGTACTGTTACTATTTTATATGTATTTTGTATTTTCAAATTATTTGTATTTTAATTAAATGCATTTCCTACCACCAGTGTTTTGTATTTTATTTTGTTACATTTGATGAGGAAGTATTTATGATTTATAACAAGATGTTTTTGACTGTATTTGTGTCCATCTCTGATAACAAATATACACGAAACCGTTTGTCATGTCTAACTTTAAATATACATCTTAATATATACTTTTAGGTACTGTCCTTACAACTTGAGATGTGTCACGAAAGTGGAAAGTCTAGCTGCGAGAATTAACTTGTCTTACACCTCCATAAGATCGAATATTAATTTAAAAATAATAATATCATATAAATATCGCATGTTTTACTTGCATAGCGTGGCTTTTGTCTGCATATCCCTTCACGAAGAGCCAGTAGGCGGTAGTAGCCAGGCTGGGTCCAGGAAGATCGTCAATGGTTTTAAGGTTGCCTGGGTTGACGGTGGACGACTGTAGGTTGATGTTGTTGAATCCGGATTTCGGTCCACAGCTCAGGCCCGATCGCCGGATGGCGGAGATCGAGGCTCCTCTCAGTGTCAACAACATGCCTTCGACGGAGGCAGCGATGTCTGCGCCGAGAAACCAATTCCGTTTCCACCAAGTCAACATATAGCCTAATTTGAAAATGGTGCCTTTTCCCCGAATAATTACTTATTAAAGAGGTGTTATCGGGTATTTGAGTGTTTCGTTTAGATACCTGCTTACCAGTATTAGAAGTTCAAGACTTGTTTAGATGTTGACAGCAACAGGCGCCAAGTAAGCTGTTTATCAAATGTAAGCAATTTGAGCTTTTCGGAGTGCTACTCAAAATAGCCAAAGTACGCCCATTGTGTTTATTTTTAAGTTATTAATGAACTAGTATAAATATAAAACATGAATATAAACTCACCTAAGGGCACGGTCTAGCTCCAAAGCCTGAGAAAATCAGGATATACTGCAGAAACGCAGCGACGGGCTTTCCTTTATCAACTTGGCACAAAATACTGTAATAACCGCGTTTGTCCCCTTGGCGGCAGTAAATAATCGCCTGCTGTTGTTTTCTGCCAAAATATTTTATTGGACATTTACTAAATTTCTTCAAAGATAATACAGGTTAGGAAAGGTTGGAATCAGAGAGCAGGATCAGCCAGCCTGGAGCAGTTGGGCTTAGGACCTTGATTACTCTGCCAGTCCCAGGATTTGAACCCATGTTCATCAACCCCATATTTAATACCCGTTAACCAGGCTTTATTAAAATACATTATTTTTCGTACGGTCAGTATGCAAGTGTCCAAAAATTATATTTTTATATAGTTAAACAAATGTGTTGGTGTTATCAAATTTATCTGTATATCCTCCATAACTGCTTATGCAATACAGGTTCAAGGTGAGCCTGTCCCAAAAAACACAGGAAACAAGGCAGGGAAGACCCATTAGGGGGCGATAAGCCGGGGTCCTGCCGTCCATGTGAGACCCAGATGGCCACAAAGCAACCTGCTGTAATGCTTGTCCTTGATATGAATAATTAACTCTAAGTTGTTCAAGTTCAGTTGTAATTTACCACCAGTGCAAGAACTCACCATGCACTGTTAGTGTTACAGCGATTGTTTGCTTACATACATACACATTTGTTCATTTGCAAGTTTTTAGCTGAAATACTCATTTTAAGTAAACGATACTCCAAAAGAATCCTGAAAAACCAGAAGGTAGAGATGCCAGGTTGGATTCCAACCAGAAGAATGACTGGAGACACACTGGTGAAATAAATATTTTTTATTACCATTACCACTCTAAAAAGGGCCAGTTGTCCAGACACTTGATCTCCTTCGTAAACTTAACTGGTCCTCACCATCAGATGAGGTGTTGGGTATTTAATCAAAAACAAGTCCTGTCATTTCTTGCAGCTTTTTTATCATGCATAAAATCTTAATCTTAAAAAAAGAAAATAATTATATTAAAAAAAATATGCGTACCACTGATATACAGATTTGATATAAACAGGCTTATTGGTCACAAACCAAATAATTATAAACATGGCTTCTTATACAATAGATAAAGAGAACAAGGTGGAGGATTATACTTTCAGAACCAGTTAAGTGTTACCGCTTCTTTACTTTTAAAAAAGTCTCTTAAATTTCTACATTTTGTACATTTTTTTTCTCCCTACCCACCCCCCAGTAAAAGTCATACAGCCAGAATGCATGGGCATTTTGGGTGCAGTGTCCTGGGACCAGGCAGTGTGGTGGACACCATATACACACGCACACACACGTACACTTGCACACATGCACACGCAAACACAGAAATCCTCAAAAGTGCACTCAGGACTCTGCAGCAGAAGCAGTCATGGCATTGTGGTATTAAAAGTACTGACTGAACTATATTTGTATGTGCTGTATGTTTCTGCTTAAAGGCATCGAAGCTCGTGGAGAAGGCCGCAGTGCCCCGCCCCCTTTCTCATCATCATTTAAGTGCTTTATACAAACACCTTGCTACTACTATACAGCCCTAAGCTAAGTCAGATTCAAGTGAAAGAGAAGAAGGCATCTGAAGTATCGTGGTTGTACATTGCCAGCAGGAGCTGAGGGTTTAGGATGATACATTCCTGATATTTCCAACAGCAGAGCTCCCAGAATGCACTGCTCTGCTGCCTCTGAGCCCTAACGAAAAAAAGGACACACACAAAGATCCCTGTCCATTCTGGAACGGGTTCTTTCACATGAAGCGGTAACGCATAGTCGCTCAGAAACTACATACAACACATTTGTACATGCCAGCATACTCAGCAATTATTACATCAGTGTAGAAATCATATTCCTCAAAAATGTGCAAAGGGTCAACATTTAAAAAAAAAAAAAAAAAAAAATCTGTACATACAACTACAGTTAAATCAACAAAAAAAATTCATACTGTGATTTGATGTTTTTGCCTGTAAAACAATATCTATCCTCCAATGTTGTAAATCATTTATTCAAACCATTTAAAGCTCCATGTTACTTAAGCTGGACCAGAAGGGCAGAAGCTCATCATCATTTTCTACTGTGTCAATGGCAGAGTTTTCCCAAGCAAAAGCTACAAGAGGAGGTAAGGATCACCTAAACTGCTCTGAAGTTAGCTTGACTATAAATGTTTTATGACCAATACTGACAGGTCACTTTGGGGTAAATTTCATTATGTCGTAAGTCAAGTATGGAAATTGAGGTGCCTTTTTAAATGAGTACCAGATAATATTTCAACTCTTCATACCTTCAAAAAAGGCAAACAAATCTAAAAGCCTTTTAAAATATAATTTCAAAGTTAACACAAAAAAAAAAAACATACATGATAAACCATGCTCTCTGGTCAAACGAACCACGCTGTCTACTCTGCCAATTCCTAAGATGGTTAAAACTTCCCCTAGTCCAGCTTCTTCAATAACCACAGAATGGACAGTACCGAAAAGAACAGCTGAAAAGAACTGGTCAGGTCTGCAACATTGAAAAGTGCAACATGTACCATAAAAAACAAATACATTTTCAGAATAATTACAAAAATGCTCAACCCATAGGCACTATGACAATCACAAAATGGATCTGTATGATTTACAGCATGGGAGGGCAGATAACTACTATTTCACACAATAGAAATAAAGTTATTTAATAGCTTACTTTTTTAAAACTTAAGGTTGTGACTGTAATGGTACCTTCAAACCTAAAGTGGTAGAGGGCTAGGAGACCATTCCCCCAACCAGACCCTATATACACAAAAGACCACAGAATTGGCAGAACTCAGGACTGAGGTCTTTCTATTAAAAAATGTAAAGTAAAAAAAAAAAAAAACACCTGCAAATGAGTATTTACAAATGTCTTGTGTTTTTAAAGTTCCATTTTGTTTCTCCGATAGGAGAAGGGATTGATTGTAATTAGCACTTTGTGTCTCTACAACTTCGACCCAGGACACTGAGCGCAGAAATCTTACTAATTACTATTCATATTTATAGTGAAATAATAGAATAACAAGAATAAGGGCCTTGGTAATAACAGTACTGATAAGTCTAGTGATTGGCACTGTTGAAATATAAGCAAGGTGAGAGACAATCTGGTTGCTTCCTACCCAATACTGGCTTTCGTGACCAGATCTATTTAAATCAACCCAAACTTTACTGCAGAGGATTTGTTTGCAGGTACATACCATACATATTTGTGAAAGAACATCTGTTGCCTTGAAGAAGTTAGAAGACGGCTTCATAATGATAGGCCTATGCGATGCTGTGCGAGCACCAAGACCCCTGCTGCTCGGCTCCAAAAGAAGTGGAGTGTCACACTACCAGCAGTTCTGGATGCCACCTTTTGTTTACCGAGCACACGGTTACACTTCTCTGGATTTTTAGCAGGCATCCAGTCATTCCACCTCCCTCTAACTAGACATTGGCGGATTGCAAACGAAGGGAGGAGAGCCAGGCTTACATCCTGTCATCTCGGGAAGGAGCTGTAATGACTCTCAGGCAGAGGGCAATGCAGATAAATGCAAGATATCTACACGAGTGTTTAGTAAACTTTGCAAAAGGCTGCTTTCCAAAAAGCTACACTGCAAATACAGCCTTAAAGTAGCAGACAGAGAAGACAATTTACGAAACTGATGGCAACGATGAACAGAGCTTAAAATATCACACAACATGTACTATTCAAGTTATAGGACATTTGTGGTTGTAAGGTTTCAATTTTTTTTAGTAACTTATAAGTCTATGTTGACGGAATTCCTCACATCCATCTGTAAGCAGCTCTCAGAAGTCAAAATGTTAGGTCCACTGGTACGTTTCAGAATCAAACCAGATTGTCTCTCTCAACTCCCACAGATCCAGAGTACTACTGGATTCAAAAGACAAATATCAACTCCACAAGATAGATATACATATATATAAAAAAAATAAAATAACTACAAAGACTTCTGTCTTTTTGTCTTTACGGGCACTTACCCAACAGTGAAATTAAGGTGCAATGTTTTCACTCAGTCTATTTCCAGAACTGTAAGAGCAAACAGACACAGGTGAAACCCTGATAGTTCTAAGTGTTTTCCGTAATTTTTTTTTCTTTTTAAACAAAGGACTTGGAGAGGATGGGGAAGGCAGATACACAGAGGGGGATCGGGATCTGGGTTTGCCAAGGATCTGGTTCAGGGCTTCCAGGGAGGAACTACTGCACGAAGATGTGACGCAGCAGCTCCTCCGCAGCCGGTCGCTGCTTGGTCTCCACGAATATGCGCTTGAGAAAGTCACGGCAATGGTCTGACACGTGCGCCGGCAGCACAGGGTTCGTGGGCTGAGTGGCAATTTTAAATATGGCCGCCATTGCTTCAAACTCCGCCCAAGGTGGGCGTTGTGTGAGCATCTCCACCACTGTGCAGCCCACACTCCTAGACAAAGGATGAAGGAGGAGAAAAAATGAGAACCAAACAACCAAGCCAACAAGAGCATATAAGTATTCAGGGTTGGAGTGTCTCCCTACCAGATATCTGCCTTTCGGCCGTACCCCTCTCCACTAATCACTTCTGGGCTCATCCAGTAAGGAGTGCCTGTGACAGACTTGATCCCCGTCCCAGAAAGGCAGATTGTCTGTAGGCGTCTGCTTGCCCCAAAATCACCTAGTTTCACATTTCCAGCAGAGTCTCGCAGGATGTTGGCCCCTAAGAAGAGTACCATGAACATTCCATTCAAAGAAGCCTACATTTCCCAGCATTCAGTTCTCCCAGCAGTGTTTTCCCACCAATCCCTATCAATTTTCCACCAATTCCCAAAACCCACCCTAACTGAAGGTCCAACCATTTTGCCATGAAGCTGACCTTTAATATCTCTATGGACAATCATGTTGCTGTGCAGGTAAGACACCCCCTCCAGGATCTGTCGTGTGTACTTCCGGGTGACGTTTTCTGTCAAGGCACCATAGGACTTCAACTGGTCCTTAATGGAGCCCTGTAGAGAAGACATTAGTGGGAAAGAAGTGACCAGAAGGTTATTAAAAACTTCATAATGGCCTTCATAAACAGTCCAAAGCTCCCGAAGAAGCGTTCTTATCTTAGGTGCAATATGCACGTGTTTGTGCGCATGCACATCTCTCACCCCAGGCATGTACTCCATGAAGATGGAGAGCGTTTTCTCCTGTGTGTCTCGCAGACAGCCATAATACTGCACAATCCTCTCATGGAACAAGTTCTTCAACAGCTGGATCTCACATTCCAGGGCGCTCACCTCCTACAGACAAACAAGCAATTACATGTACAATCACAGAAGCACAGATAAACATACACACAGCAAGATATCTTCTCTGTGTAAACTAGCAGATAAAAATGATCTGGCTTCTCAGTAATAAATACCCTAATAATACAAGATGTAATACTATAAGCATATTCATATTTTAAAGACATAATCAAAACAGTCATACATAATGTCGGATAAAAATAACATATTCCAGTCATACATGTAAATGGCTATTCAGAAAAAAATTTACTTGCCTTGCTAGTTTCTGGGCTGTCTGGGTCAAACTGGACCTGTTTAACGGCCAGTTCGCGGCCCGTGTCGGCATCGTAGCAGAGGTAGACGCGGCCGAACGCACCCTGACCCAACAGCTTCCCCAGCCGCCAGTTAGTGGGGGCGCGTGGTGCTGCGGGCAGAGGAGAGGAGAAGCGTGAGCTAAGGAGGGAGGGAGAGAGAGCGCCACACCGCAACCGCAAGACAGCGCCACCCACAGCGGCTCGGCGGGCTGATGTCCATGACGGAGAGCATGGCATTGGCCTCGATGTCGCTCCCCCGGCGGCGCCGGCCTGCCTCCTCCAGCTCGGGGGTGAAGATGCTGCTGCCGCTGCTGGTGCTGAGCGACTGCTCCGTGGGGCTGAAGCTCACCGGCGAGCGGAAGCTGTGGCCCTGGTTGCGTCGAGCACGGGGAAATGTCTTCCGCCCTGAGGGAGGCACAAGACCGGAAACCGAGTCAGTCCGCATTTATCTACCAGGGCTTTGTGAGAGAGATTCCACTTGCACTGCTATTTTGTTCAAATATGAGCAAATAGTTACTATATTTAGGCTCATGGTGGTTTTATTCACACAAGAGAGTTCTGAGGGCAGAACGAAAAATTATTTGTTCAGAGAGATAACCAATCAGACTGGAGAGGAGGTAGGTCCAAGCAACTAGAGGAGGCAGGATCAACCAAGCAGATGTCTTGGCCCCAACCTCCCCTAGTTGCTTGGACCCACCTCCCCTCTAATCTGATTTGTTCAGAGAGATAACCAATCATTTGTCGTTCTGCCCCGTTTGCAAAAGCTGTATTTAGTAAATATCCACAGTAAACATTTACTATTTACTATGGTTTAAACCCAACAAAGGAAGCTACCAACATATTGTACAATGCCCCACTTCAGTAAACTTTGACAAATTATTTTAAAAAATACATTTAATGATTTTTTTTATAAGAGCATCCAGACAGCAGTGCTCTGGTTGGACTGGCTGCCTGTGCAGTGAGGATACAATAGCTCAATGATCACAACAAAAGCTGTGTAAACAGTCAGGTTATACCATCGCTGTAGTCCGGGTGACCAAAAGAGATGTGGTAACGCCGGGGGTATGTGCCACCTTTTCCAGTCTTCTCAAAAACAGGGATGTCATAATCTGGAAGCACAAAGAGGAGAGAAATCTTTAACAGATTCATTAATGCAGAGATTAGCAAGGCCTACTGCTCTGAACCCCAGCAGATTCTCACCACCCACCTGCGAATTCCTGATGGTTGTCGGGGTAACTCTGGGCCCGGGGCATGCGGGTTTTGGGGTAGGTGTCACTGGAAGGAGAGGCATGATCATCAGCTAATCATCCAGCAAGCGCAACCTGCTAAACTGTGTGGCCTGTATGTCCCACCTGTCCAGAGGGCTGTCGAGGGAGGGACAGCTCCCAGAGGCCGAGTTCTCAGGGCTGCTCATGGACAGGGGATCCAGCATCTAGAGCAGAGAGACACAGAAATCATAACTGTTACCTCAGTGAGTGGTGCAGAGCGTGGCAGTGGTGAGGCCACCTTGCTGACCCCCACTAGCCCCCGCTGGGTCGGCCGGCTGGGCTCACCTGGTCCATGCTCTCAGGGATGAACTCGCCCTCGCTGTTGATGCTGGTGAAGGAGCCGTTGCGAGCCACTTGCTGCAAGGCGTCAGGGATGTATCCCGGGGGAGGCGAGCTTCGGTCACTCGAATGTGATCCTGCTGCAGAAGCAGAACAAAGGGGCCACGCTTCTAAACTTCTCAACGTTTGAGTTGACAGGGAAACATGTTTTTGCACATTTATAATACAGATGGTGAAATCACTGCACATTGAAAAAGTATGCCAATCTCAAATCACGGTTTCCAGATTCTTTTGTTTCTATCACAGCGTCCACCTTCTTTCACGAGTCTAAAACATGCCAAATGTTCCTAGGAAACTGTATTAAGTACTGAACATTATCTGATGGAAGTGCTTTTAATCACAAATTACTTCGACACACTCAAGACAATATATGCATTGTATGTCTATTTAAAAATTCATTTTTCAGAAATTACTCTGTTAAAACTTGTTTTATTGTTGTGCTTATTTAACAAACACCTCACCAGTTAAGGTCATCATGTTCTTCTTGTCTGTTCCCCTGAAAACTGTGTTGTCCAGGTTCTCAAAGGCAGGCAAGAGCCCCATGTTTCCAGTGGAGCTCTGAGTGAAGCATCGTGAAACACACTTTAAGCACCACTCCACATCATAATGAAAGGCCAAACTAGCGCAATAAAACCTTGTTCACTTACGTTTACATCATGATTTACTTTCTTTCATATCATTCTATTTCATTCTAAAGAATATAAAGTAATAACATGACAGAGGTAAATGAAACCTTATGGTGCACACAATGCAAATAAGCAGTAATATGACTGGAAACCAAACTGATTAAAATATGAGCAAATATAGAGTAAAAGCAATGCAGAAGGTGAAGGGAGTGGACAGTCTCTAACCTGTAAGGAGGAGTGCAGAACCAGCAAGATCTTCAGGCTCTTCATGTGTACACTGCGATCCAGCAACTCCACCGCCTTGTCCAAGTCATCTTGTGTGGACAATGGGATGACCAGCTACTCAGGGAAGGCCAGAAACAGAAAAGAAATGGAGGAAGACACAGGAACATCAAGAGAAAGTCATGCATCGGTTCATAAAAAAAAAATAATAATAATCTCGACCACACAATGAAGTTTCCCATGCAGCTCAAAAGAGGAACTACCTCGTTGTTGGTGTAGTGTAGGTCCATGGCCTGACCAAAGGCAACCTTGGCCTTAAACTGCAGGTCATCCAGCCTGACAGGTCGAGGGAACTGCAAAATCCTTTGCAACGAAAGGAAACGCAGATGGGTGCTCTGTCACATCCGTTGCATCAGTCTCAGAACAGCTATGGCTTCCAAAAAAAAACATTTTCCGGCTCCTCTTACCTCTTCTCACCTCTGTACTCAAACTTTACCCGCACATCATTCTACAAAAGCAGAAATTCCATTTCAAATTTAGGCAGTATGCAATAATGGCAAGCTTTACTGACTGTTTACTTACTCATCTACTGTTAATTGGGTACTAAAACGTGGAATGAGTAGCATTTTAATTTTACGGAGTCTTAATTCACCACTGTAGTAATGCAATTATTGTGTATATCATTATTATTATTTAACTACAACTACTTTTTGCACACAGCAGCTATGTTATTCATCAGGTTTGTGGGGCCACAGAGGACTGTGGTCCCGTAATAAAATTAGCATTACAGCAAATTATGTGGAATACAGGTGAGTGAGATGTGGGGGCCTGCTGGGTTTCCACGTTGGCAATCGAAGGTGAATCCAGACCTGATTCTTGGGTGAGGAGGCTTTAGGCTTGCCCAGGTCTGCAAGAGACAGAGCAGGGCGGCTGGAGCGATGCAGCTCAGCCAGGTCCTGCATGATCGAGTTCAATGCCTCATCTGTGGGGATCACATCAAATCAGTGGTGCTAAAGTTTAAACATCATACAGTGTCATAAATAATGCAGCATCCGACAAATATGCTCACGCAATAAACGGCATAAAGCTGAAGCTGAACGGTGAAGCTGAGTGATGCACTTACCCATCGCGCTACTTTATTGACCCAGGAGCCCAGAGCAGGGGATTCTCCCTTCAGAAGGGGATCCTTACTCCTTAAGGAGAGAAGAATGGATTGGTTTTAACAGCTAAATAAATGACCATGTTCTGCACATTAAACTCTTCTATACATTTGTTTATTTAGCAGAAACTTTTATCCATAGTAATGTACAAGGCACCACAAACATACATTTGTTAAGGGGTCAACTAGGGATAAGTGAAGCTAGGCTGAGCTGCCAATGAATACCCAGGTACAAGGGCATGCAAGTGCAAGCACTACTGGAAGACGTTCTAGAAAGGTAATGTGTTTTCCTAATTAACTCTGGATAGCACGAAAGAATAAACGTATGTGAAATTAAATTCACCTGCTATGGATGTTGCACAAGACATATTTAAGACATGATCAATTTAGTAAGAATCTTATCCAGTTATAAATCATTATATGATGTTATAAATGATCAGAACTTTAGGGTTAACCTTTCACACAATTAGCATAAATGTCAAAGTACAGCAATCAAATAATGAATAAAAAAATACAGCAATCAAATAACACAAATACCGCTGTAAGCAGCTCTAAAATATTTTCAAACTTCACTGACAAGTTAAAAACAGAAAAATGAGAAGAGGTTCACTCCAGCTCCCATTTACACATTTTATTCCCAAGTACGCAACATCATAATCCAAGATGGTTTCTCAAAAACAAGGGTTTCAGTCCTTCAGTGTATGTAATTCCCCATGGAGCACAGTGAGTCTGGCAGAGAATTCAGTCTGATTACATATCATCATCACATGCTACATCTCTCCAAGGTTCAAGTACTCCACATTCCTGCCAGACAGCAGTCTGATGTCTTAATTCCCATTGGTTGTGCAATGTTATCCTCCTAGGCTGCCAAATAACTTATTAACCACAAGGTATTTGTGATTGAGATTCTTTCTGTGTAAAATTAGAAGAATCTGGCTCTTCTTCACAACCAGTTCTGTACATCTCCTTATCCATGACCAATTCATCGTTTGCCAAAACCACAGTATCTGTATCCTGGCCAACATCTACAATAGTGCAACTAGACTGTTCAAGCTGTGCAGGATGTAAGCATTTTACGTATTTGGTCTTGCACATAGCTTCTACAAGTCTGATTCCTCAGTTCACTACAAATTACAGCTTGCATCTTATTTAAAACCTTGATTCCTGACCATAGTGTGTTAATGACATAAAACTACAATACGCAAGGAATGTCATATGCAACTGCATAGTCTGCATAGACAATTATCTGTGCCGTTACTCGTGTGAATCAGCTTTAATATTATACCATCTATAATATCATTGTTGTAAGTACATTTCTGAGCTCGTTTCATTTTAATATAACCAAGGTCTGTTTGATATTACGATACACTAATGTGTATTTGGATTTGAATCTGTTTCCTTTCTAAGATATTACATGCATTGTTTTACGCCTTATAGGAATCTTTATACTTATTTCAGTCGGCTAAATTAACAAAATAAAGCGTATTTCGAACGTAGTTTTCAAATCGTTAAATACTAAGTGAAGGAGTAATTTTTCCAAAATATTGTGAACTTGAATCACTGTGCCGATTTCAGGATGATATCACCTCAGCATCATTACAGTTCTCGACAATAGCCATAATCGATATGGAATACACGACTAATTATTCCAAAATATGTACATTTAATATTGCATTTCACTGTCGTTTCGCCATTAGCATTTAAGCGAAATCTACAGCAGACGCACACCATATAAAAAGTAGATATGCAAACTTTAAAATGACCTAGTTTTAGTGAACTCTGCATAAGCAACATTATTACTCTAAATTAAAGATATTGCAGTTTGAACATAGGACGATGACATTAATCTCTTATTGGGGGAAAAAAAACTACTATTAGCTAGCTAATAGCTCTGGGTGTCGCTGACAAATTAACCAGCGTGCGCCTCTATAGGTCTTTTAAAACAATCTTTACTATTTACGTGTCAATTTTAAAGAACTAGCATATAATGTGAAAGCAATTTCTTGTTCGTAATATTAAGTGATTCGATAACTGTTTTGTCCGCTGATGTTGACATGCCCCTGCATCGATGCTAGCCTGTGAAACTAGATTTTCATTTTTAGTACTGATACTATGGTTGCTATATAGGATGCAGCAAAAAAGCCGTACGCGTACCTATGGCATATATTGTCTGAAATGTTTAATTTGCTGTGCTTACCCGGGCAGATTATTTCCGTTTACTTCCTCATTCACAGGGCCGGCTGCTAGAGCCTCGGCCCTGATGATGGGCGCCTTACAGCCGCAGAGTTCAGGGTCCGGCTCTAACTTGCACTGGAGTCCGAGGCTGCTGCACACTCGGCGTTTCTAGGCGCAGGCCACACTTCCTTCCATGCGATCTGATGCTTTATCTGCTCTTACTGTTACAGTCGGAGGCTGCGCCTAATGATGTCTTATCCCTGCTAATGCGAATCTGTGTATAGAAAATTAGTCTCGCAAAAAGAAAGCAAAAATGTCTTGTTTAATACTTGCTATTCCACGTATCCACCCCCAGATTAACGCAACAGACAGTTCCGAATAGGAGTACAGTATTTTGACGTTGGGTTGTCATGTGACTTATTTCCCGGAAGACATCTTTTTACGACTGCTTGAATAGACTGCCTTCTACTTCAGAGTGATTAAAATCCCTGACGATTTCATGGTAATTTGCCAGAAATTTCACACTTTGTAATAATGCTCATTTAGTACGTACGTTCTTATGATGAAACATATTCTGGCATCTACCCCTGGTTAATAATAACTGCAGTACACACTGTCACATTCGTAGTATTTTCAGAGTGACAAAACTATATCACGCATAAAACAGACGTTTGCATTATATTGTGTTCACAGCGCCAATACAAAGGGCACATATGCTCAATATATAATGTATTACTTTGCAGAAATATTCTAAAATAGATCCAATAACCAGAAATGACAAATTTATATTTCCAAATCAAAACTATGTAAAATAATGACAGACATGTGGACCACAAAAATGCACACTCTTTTTTACACCATTACAGTATAAACGTTAACAGCATGTCATCTCACAGTCAGGATGGAAACAGACTAAAATATAGTATAGTGTTTATCATTCATTGCAAAAAAAATATATAATGTTTTATAAAGCTGGTGTCTCTTTTTACGCCAGAAAATGTATATTTCATATTCTGGAATGTCCAGAATTTTCTGCATGTATTGCTTGACACTACATGGTTCTGTGGTATACAGTTTGCAATATATTTTCGTTATTATAACGTGTACATCCCAGATTAATTGCTCATAAATTAATTGTTGTAAATTATCTTAAGAGTATACGTGAGTCCACATTCTATAGGATTTGATATATATGAGATTGTTATAGTCCACAAATAAATAAAGCACTAAACTATAATTTCATTAAAGTCACTAATGGCAGATTCTTAATATATATACTATAATATACCAACCTGCTAAATTTCGAATTGTTGGATTAATGGCTAGATATCACTAGGATGGACAACAGAAATTTTTCACTTCATCCAGTCATTAAATAAATGCTTACAGATCACCTTTACTAATTAGAGTTATAAAAGTATATAGGGTATTCACGAAACTTTTGAACATTAAGAAAACAGTGGAAAACATGTCCCCCTAATCACGGTCCACAATCAAAATATTAAATAAAGTCTTTGCACCCATCAGCCCTTATCCAATACAGATGCGGCAAGACTGCAGCCTATCCCGTGGGGCACAGCGTCGGAGGCAGATGGTTATTGTAGTCCAGAGGTCTCTAGCGCTCATTTCCGCTCTGTACGTGTGGAGTATGCGCAGTGGAAGTTTCCGGGTCCGCGGACGGGTCTACGCTCTGTTCCATCAGAAGGTTTCGGGCTGCTCGCGCTCGGTTTATTACGCATGAAATATGGTAGCTGCCAGTTAGTGGCTTCATTACAACAGAAGTAGGGTCTAGTGGAGGAGTTTCAGAGTATCGTTGCCTAATATTTATTAATTTATTTGATCTGAAATTATGGTAAAAAAGGACAAAGGTGATCGGGGTAAGACCACATTTGATGGTTAACGTTACCAAGCTGAAACTCTGAACTTGTACCTAGCAATAACAGTTGTGTAACGTTTATTGTTTATTCTATTGGATTATTTTTCATACGAATCATCTGTTCACCATATTATCTGATGACAGTGCTAAAAACGAATTGCATATTTTCATATACAGCATAGTACATCGCATACCGGTGTTGAAGACCTAAGTCCTAGCGCAGTGGTTACAGTAATATGATTTGACATTTGTATACCATGGAAATGAATTCAATGAAGTTCCCGTGAGGATATGTATGGTTATTACATATGTCTCTTATTCTGTTAAATGTTTTAAAAAATCTACGCTTTGTTATGTGCGAATATCATTACACATGGGTGAACCTTTATGGTATTGTTCACAGTATTTAAAATAGTTTTTAAAAAGCATTTTTGCACATTTATCTGTATAACTGTTTGAAGTATTTTTATCTAAATTTATTAACTACTCTTGTGTCGGACTGAGCTCTATACACCCTCTCCCCACATACCTGCCTTTTTCTTTTACACAAATGTAAGTGGGCTTTCTCTTTGTGTTGGATAAGCATGTGCTTATTCACTCTGTGCAGTTTAAGACAAGGTTTTATAACATTTAATGCGAATTGTGGTATTACACTGTTGTAGCCAGTATGTTTAGCACTGGTGATGAGCACTACTCAACTTTGCTGCGTTTGGACTGAGGATTTATGTGCGTTTTTGCACACAGTGACTTCACATGTTTACCTTCACAGAGAAGAAGAAGGCAAAGAAACGCCCCTATGAAGATGAGGAGGAAGAGGAGGAGCCAATGGGCAGCGAATCCCAGGAGGCCGTCCCTTCAGCTGCTGGGAAGCAAGTAGATGAATCCAGCACCAAGCTGGACGAGTATGGAGCCAAGGATTATCGCCTGCAGATGCTTCTAAAAAATGACCATTGCTCTCGTCCGCTCTGGGTGGTATGTAAAAAGAACCTACTATGGTGTGTGTTACTTTTTAGTTTCCTCGTAATCCTAAAAATCACAGCTGCCTTCATTAATACTCTCAGGTATAAATGATCTAAATGGTTTTGACTACCATGTTAAATACCAGTCAATTGTAATTAATGTCTAAAAGAGGTGCTTTAGTGGGGTAAAAGTGCTATCTGGAAAATTATTTTATTGAGTAAAATGTAACTGTCACATTTGAATATTTAGCAGACTCGTATGTCCAAATTGACGTAAAATAGAGGAGCATGATCAGACAGTCCCTGTTCGGATTAAGGGTCTTGCCCAAGGGTCCAGTGGCGATATCACTGCTAGCCACAGGATTTGAACTGACAACCTTCCCATCACAGGCAAAGTTCTAACATGCAAAACCACATACCGAACTGTGAAATAAGTAAAATTGTTTTTTTTTTCTGTGTAATTATGGTTACTGTAAGATTCTCTACTCTTTCCTAAATTATTTAAAGCTTCCCTTATCTGCCCTATAGGCTCCAGACGGCCACATCTTCTTGGAAGCCTTCTCACCGGTTTACAAATACGCCCAGGATTTCCTGGTGGCGATTGCAGAGCCTGTGTGCCGCCCCACGCATATCCACGAGTACAAGCTGACTGCCTATTCCCTGTATGCCGCCGTCAGTGTGGGTCTGCAGACTGGTGATATCATTGAGTACCTGCAGAAGCTTAGCAAGACCTCTGTGCCTGATGGAATTGTGCAGTTCATCAAGGTGAGTGGATGTTCCTGGACTAGTGGGGAGACAAAAAACACTCTCCACCAGAAAAACAGGCTTTTTAATGCCAGATATTCTTTAATATTAGGTCATATCTTTCTCCCCTTCAGCTATGCACTGTAAGCTATGGAAAGGTGAAACTTGTCCTGAAGCATAATAGGTAAGTTTCTCATAGGAATGGCAACATTGTTTCTCAGACTAGAGAGAGAAGAGTCTGTGGGACAATTCACTTTTTTGCTTGTCTGTTACTACTGTTTCAACAACAAGACGTGCTTGACATTCTAGGCCTAATGTTTCTTTGCGTGTAACAGGTACTTTGTGGAGAGCACGTTTCCTGACGTGATACAGCGCCTTCTGCAGGACAACGTCATCCGAGATTGTCGCCTTCGTACTGCAGAAGGGGGCGAAACTGAGCTCATTACGGAGGTCATTTCAAACAAGTCTGCGGTGCGTACGTCAGTGACGTCACTGTAGAGAAATGTGCACTGCAGCGGAGACATTCGTACAGCTGCAATGTGTGCTGATATTTAACACCCCACTCTAATTTGATATTGTAACGAATTACTTTTCCCCACTTATTCCAGATTTCAAAGTCACTTGGGGATGGTGCAGGTCCTTCCACTTCCCAGCTGCCGGAGGGCCAAAGCTCGGGTGCGGAGGTGCCTGAGGATATCTTCACCTACTATGAGCAGATGGACAAGGAAGAGGAGGAGGAAGAGGAGACTCAAACTGTATCATTTGAGATTAGACAGGTGAAGTTTTACTAAAAAAGATGTCAATAAATATGAACATGGAGGTAGTTTGTGAATCGAAAGAGGTGGGTTTGAGCTGGATTATCGTTCTTTTTTTTTTCCTCCTCCTGTTCTACATTTTGTATTCTTTTGCTTCTCCTGCCACGTTTAGGAGATGATTGAGGAGCTGCAGAAACGCTGCATCCAGCTGGAGTACCCTCTCCTAGCGGAGTATGACTTTCGCAATGACACGGTGAACCCGGACATTAACATGGACCTGAAGCCCACAGCTGTTCTGAGACCCTACCAGGAGAAGAGTCTGCGTAAGATGTTTGGCAACGGCAGAGCTCGCTCAGGGGTCATCGTACTGCCTTGCGGTGAGTGAGCCCTCTCCAGTGACAGGCAGCGAGACAGCAGAACAGTAGAGCTGCAAAACTGTACGATTATTATTTATTTTTTATAGATTTTATTGCAATTTAACACATTGTAAGCATCTTTAAAGGCTTTAAAAAAGCATTAACGATGTTGTCAAAGTATTTCTAGTAAGATTCTATGTTCATCTATTGGAAGATATAGGAAGGAATTATTTATTTATGTGTTGGTGTAGTTTTATCTACCATAACTCTGAAATACGTTTGCTAGTAAAAAGTCTGTATGGTTCGTTTTAGCAGTTTTTGAGTTTCTGGTGTCATTTTTACACTGTTGGCTTAGCGATGCTGTGATTGTTAGTAATAGTCTGCTGGTCTTGGGTGCTTCTCAGGTGCGGGTAAGTCCCTGGTGGGGGTAACGGCGGCCTGCACGGTGCGGAAGCGCTGCCTCGTCCTGGGAAATTCCTCAGTGTCGGTGGAGCAGTGGAAGGCACAGTTCAAGATGTGGTCCACCATTGATGACAGCCAGATATGCCGCTTTACATCCGACGCCAAGGACAAACCCATAGGCTGTTCGGTGGCTATCAGTACCTACTCCATGCTGGGGCACACCACTAAGCGCTCCTGGGAGGCAGAGCGGGTCATGGAGTGGATGCGTAACCAGGAGTGGGGCCTCATCATCCTGGACGAGGTCCACACCATCCCAGGTTGGTCTTTGTCCCCATTGTGTTGCCTTTCACGGGATTCCCGTGCCTCATTCTAAGGGCCCATCTAACATGCATCTCCTTGCAGCCCGGATGTTCCGGCGGGTGCTGACAATCGTTCAGGCTCACTGCAAGCTGGGCCTCACTGCCACACTGGTTCGAGAGGACGACAAGATCGTGGACCTTAACTTCCTTATCGGCCCCAAGCTGTATGAGGCCAACTGGATGGAGCTGCAGAACAATGGCTACATTGCAAAAGTCCAGTGTGCAGAAGTGCGTCCAAGGCGATGGTCTTAGTTTTAGTATAACTCAAAGTCCAGAGCTGGGATATAAAGCACACACACTTGACGTTTTTAGTAGAGTTAACAACAGGCATTCCTTGAGTGTATTGCGTTCTGTCTGCTGGTCGTTAGCCCCTCATTTCCTCCCTTCCTTTTTCTCCCAGGTGTGGTGTCCAATGTCCCCTGAATTTTACCGGGAATACGTATCTATTAAGACAAAGAAGCGGATCCTGCTGTACACAATGAACCCCAACAAGTTCCGCGCCTGCCAGTTCCTCATCCGCTACCATGAGCGCCGCAACGACAAGATCATCGTCTTTGCCGACAACGTCTTCGCCCTCAAGGAATATGCCATTCGGCTTAACAAGTAAGTTTCCTGATGAGCTTTATTTCCACCCAGTACTCCATCCCCAGAGTGTCATCTCTAACCCAAACACCATGTTACTTCTCAAGGCCGTACATCTATGGACCCACCTCACAGGGAGAGCGAATGCAGATTCTACAGAACTTCAAGCACAATCCCAAGATCAACACTATCTTCATCTCCAAGGTAACTACCTCATCTTCCTGCCCAAAGCAATGCCATGACCCATATATCCTTCAGTGAATTTCAGTGATATCAAATATTTAACCAAGAGACCTATAAACAAGTTAAGTAAGTTAAATTCATGTCATGTTTCTGTTCTGATCTGATGACTTTGTTTAGCCACAGAAAGTAAAAAGTGACAGGAATTTATGATTGTGGAAATGGAACCATATCGTTGAAATTTTTCCCTTTAGTGACACTGTAGTTTGCACACAGGGTGGTGAACCTTTAGAAGCAGCTGGCAGGGTTTCCTTCTTAGTGTGTAGCCTAGACTTACATGATTTTATCTGGTGAGGAATCTACTGCCACAGTAACACAAACTTTGTTATGCTGTTATCCATTCATTCTTGTGTTTAATTGGTCATTTGTGTAGCATACTGAATATTGTCGGGTAATATTTGTTTGTTAGTTTGTTATCTTGGATATCTTTTCACTTTGATAGGAAGCAGTATGGCTGGTTACATCCTTCATGAAGGGTGTAAAATGTTTGCTTCATTTGTGTGTTTTGATATGTGGTTTTCACGGACCCTCAAAGCGCTACAGGATTTTATTCTACTGCTGCGCTTGCATGTCACAGTGCAGTGACAAACAAAAAAACAATAAGATATCAAGGCACCCGTCAAGAATCTCCTATTGGTCTACAAGGGCTGTTCCAGTCACTTTTACTTTCACCATGTTAAAGCCCTGAGGAGAAGGTTAAGGTGGTCATCTAGAGGTCTTCTGCATCAACATACACCCTCATCTCCATGTCAGGTTGGAGACACTTCGTTTGACCTTCCTGAAGCGAACGTGCTGATACAGATCTCATCGCACGGTGGATCACGCAGACAGGAGGCCCAGAGGTTAGGCAGAGTGCTTCGTGCAAAGAAAGGTACAGTAACCGTGCTAATGACACACTCAGCTCTGTTATTTCTTCCATATGGTTCGTTTGCTGATAGCTGTGTTTGTACCCGACACTGTGCCTCTTAGGTATGGTGGCAGAAGAGTACAACGCCTACTTCTACTCACTGGTCTCTCAAGACACGCAGGAAATGTCCTATTCTACCAAGAGACAGAGGTTTCTAGTGGACCAGGGCTACAGTTTCAAGGTTGGTTCAGTACATACAAGAATACTTACATGGCACAATGGCCCTTTCATCCGTCCCTGGTTGGATGAAGCTTTGGATCCCAGCTGTTATTGGAGTCTGCTTGTTCTCCCCATGCAGTTCATTTCATTGGTCTCTTTAAATTGCCCGTTGTTGAAGGTGGGGGTGTGTGTATGCGCTGTCTAGAGTCTACCCCTGCCTTGTGTTCAGTGCTGTCCGGAATCTCCAGGATAAGATGAATGTATGTATCTCAGTATTCAAGAACAGTGTTTACTCCCTTTTGCTTCTGCTGTTTTCTAGGTAATCACAAAGATGGCAGGTATGGAGGAGGAGGATCTCATGTTTTCCACCAAGGAGGAACAGCAGCAGCTCTTGCAGAAGGTTCTGGCCGCATCCGACCTGGATGCTGAGGAAGAGGTCGTTGCAGGTGAATCCAGCGGGAGACCACAGGTATGCTGAGTGACCTTTATTCCATTTTGTTTTATGCTGTGAACGTAAGGATGTGATGCTGAGCTGGTCAGGCGTGAAATCATTGTAGTAGCTAATCAATAGAGGTAATGAAAATTTGACACACTTGAGACTTTTTTTGTCGTCGACGTGTAGGTATGTGCAACTGCTATTCTGCAGCTGCTGATGCGCGTCTGTCTGACACTAAGCCGCCCTGACTGCCTCCCTTCCAGTTCTCCCGTCGCTCCGGCACCATGAGCTCCATGTCGGGTGCAGATGACACAGTCTACATGGAGTACCACTCCGCACGCAGCAGCAAGAACTCCTTCAACAAGAACATACACCCTCTGTTCAAGCGCTTCAGGAAGTAGACCGTGCTGAACGGATGCTTAGACAAACTCCTCCACAAAGCAGTGCAGGGGAGCCTTAATCGAGGACACAGTAGGGAAGTTAATTATTGGATGACATGCATCCCTCAAATCCACCTACAGTTAAGGGTGGATTTGTCTCAAAGCTAATGGTGGGAGATGAGGGATTCATCCAGGATTCATCCAGGATACAACACCATGCCTCTCCTCTCCCCTGTGTCATGGCATATATATTTTTTCTTTTCATGTGGCATTATTTAAAAATGTGACTGTTTAGAACGTAGAAATTAATTGTAAATTTTCTACTGCTCAATGTGGTTTGCATTGGCATAAACGTATCACTTGCCCCATGGGCAAGTTAGTATTACAATATTAACATTAAACAGCAGAATGTCCTGTGCACCCACCCCAGCGACTATAGAAGCACACGCTGCGTTAAGCACTGCTTCGGTACTTACAATGCAGTATATACAGTGTTGCTCAGTGTGCTTGTTACAGCTGTGAGTTTGGTTCTGATACTTGCGTTCAGTGGGTTGTCTAGATGGGGGGTGTCTCTTACCAAGCTAATCTTGCTCAGGCAAACATGGTCCTGGGGCAGTTATGATGGGGGGAATAAGGGATCCCATAAGTGGCTGACGAGATGTTTTTCTGGAGCAGAGCTACAGAACAGTGTGTTACCTGTTTACACAAATGGGTACATTGCAATATCAGCAATGGGAATTCATGTAAAATATTAAATTGAATTTTATGTTTTGCTGTGTATATATTGGATGGCTCATTTCTAAGGAAAATTCACTGATTCACTGCTTAATGAAGAGGCCCAGGTAAAAGTCAGTGGTTTCCACAAACCCTGGTAACACACCATAGATCTCCCTTGCCATGTGGTAACAGCATGGAAAGGGACGTCTGTCTTCAAAGCAGCGCTGGCACAGAGCCGTCCTCCAAATCCTCCTTAATCTTCCTCATATCCTGATTCATCCCGCCTGCAGTAGGCCACAGAGAGACAAGAAAATGTCCCTCTGCTTCCTAAGTCCCCCACATCTCCTAACTCCTACTGTTCCCAATATTACAGAATTTAATATTGCAAAGCCTCAGTGCAGCCGTAGCTCGTTTGCTTTGCTGCTATAATGTTATGTGTCAGCTGGAGGACAACCGGGGTGTTATGACCAACCTGCGAAGAGGTGAGGCTGTCAACAAGTAATCAAAAGGTTCCCTAAAGAACAGTCATATAATTACAACAACAAATGTCAAAGGTTGTCTTGTCTTGCTGTAAGGAATCCTGTTTATACCATATCACAAATTAGTCAAGTTGTTTTAACAATAAGCTGTTGTTCATTATCACTCTTCCTGAGAGTGATGTTATCTGACACCACTTGTTTCTCACCTTAAATTAGTACCAATTAAGTCTAAAGATATACCAAGTAGTGATGTACAGTTGCCAATAAACTTGTCATCTGCCTGGAATATGCAGAGACATAAGAGCGGGCAACTTTGCATCTGACCGCTGCAATACCACAGCATAGCAAGTGCAGATATTTACACAACCAAAAAAGCCTCCCTCTTTTCTAGTTAATGGAAAAAGAAACCTGGAAAAAAGACATTAAATCTACTGCTTTCAGAAGTCTTTTGTAGTCTGTGCGCTCATGAGGTGTTGGTGTTGGACCTGGTCTGTCTCCACACAGATTAACATGTCTCTGCTTAGGCAGCAAATGACCGATGCCTCAAATGGATTTTAAATGCTTTCATCCATTCATGCCAACATCCATGCTTTCCTAACACAAATAGCTGTGCAATGTAATTATTTAGTGTCAGCCTCATGCTCTGCTCAACTGTACAAATGCCTCGTAGCCTTATTCACGGCTTCAAGGATAGTTCTTCTGTCTGTTACCAGCCTTTGAGTCTTATGACTACATACAATCCATACCTGTGCTGGTTAGCCAAAGGGTGGATAATTCATTGTTCTGTTGTGTGAAATCAAAGTGGGGACGTGGCTAAAAGTTCTGACTAGGGTTAGTTCATGTTTCAACATATGCAGCATAATGTTCAATGCCTCTGCAATGACAGGGACAAGAAATGAGGTGTCTGCTTGGCAAATTATACAGTGAGTCATGCTCATCCATTCATTGGGTTTAACCGTGAGCATCAAGACAGCGCAAGGAAGCACAGACCACAAGACAGTGTGTCCCTTGGACAGGATGCTATTCCTCCAAAATAGTTCCCACACGCCTCATTAATCGCATGAACTAATGCTAAGGTATTTCATTAGTTTCCAGTTTGATTAGTCACATGCATGAGCGTACACTGTACGTGTGTGTAGGGAAATGTTTTCTCACCTGCTTCTTGGATTGTGCTTAAAAAAACCTAATAAGAAGAAATACGAAAAGATAAAAATAACAAAATGAAATAAAAGACAAAATACAAAAGCATATGTACATATCTGAATACATAAGGTAGTGCATGTCATAAAGATGTAAAATGAGGAATGCCTTAAACAGTGTGGCAGTAGTATAAAGTGCATATAATGTGTTAGCTGTCAACAGTCATTATGTATATGGACAGCAAAGGGAAGAAACTAGTCCTAAGTCTGTCAGTGTTGGCTTTCTGTCTGCAGTAGCGCTTCCCTGGTTACAGCAGGCCATTGTTGGAGCAACATCACTGTGTATACAAGCATTTTGACTAAGGCTGTGCCTACAAGAAGGGTTGTTATGGGGGAAAGGTCCCATCAGAGCATTTGTTATTCTACAATGAACAAAACGGCTCTTGTGATGCAAACTGTGTAATCATCAGAACTGACCACTCAGTTCTGCTGGATATGTACACATCATACCAGCTAGTTGGTAATAATCACATGGACACACTAATTTGAAAAAATGCAAGAATATGGCAGCTAATGACTCACATGTGGCTCTATCTGAATATTCTGCATACTCAAGCTGTTTTTGACTTGCCCCAGCTTGCTCTTAAGAGAGATCATTCTCTTCAATGCGAAAACAAGATATGGCTGAGGAAAAACTTCATCCAATCAACAGCTGTCAGGACTGGTCATGCTTCATGTCCTTAGAAACATCAAGGCTGACTGTGAAAAAGTTTTCTGTGCCACTGGATCCACCTTGTTTCCAGTGCAAAGGTAAACTAATGAATTCTGGGAGCATTAAGCTAAACATGCTAAACACATTGCTAAAGTAAGTACATTTCAAAAACTTGTAATGTGAATTGAGTCCTTATGAGAAATGTAAAAATTGTCATTTTTAATGGTCTCCCCCACACAGAAAAAAATGCTCTCAGTTAAAATTAGGGGCTGGCTTGGCCAATATTACAGCTGCAGTTAGATGAAATGCATGATAACAATGGGTGAGGTTAGTAACGGAAGTGGTAGGAGCGCCACCTACTGAAAAATATGTGGTTAAGAAATGAGTTGAATTGTTAAAATTGGTTATTTAGTGCCACCATGTGACTAACAGAGTAATTACAGAGGCTTACATTATGACACGTTATGATTATTATCACATTATGATTTAGACATTAAAGCACATTCTGAAACCACATTCCCACACAACCAGGAGTAGTTTGTTTTGCACAGTATGTGATGCATTATGCATTATGCTGGCTAGTAAAGTGGAGAATACATCATTGGAAAATCATAGATCATATTTGGAGAATAGAGCTGGATAACATGTGGGAGACTGTCCCCAGAAAAGACCTTTCATTCTGATTGAACCAAGAAAATATAAATGTATTGCAATGTTTCAGCAGCACACAATGTAAGCCAGGACACTATGCCTTTAAATATTACAGAATTCAGATTGCTGTGTTTGACATTTTACAGTTTAATTTTAATTTAATTCACTGAATGTCTTTCACACAAACAGAACTTCAGCTTCTTCTAAAGATACATGTTCTCATGTTATTGCAGTTTAACTGAACACCAAATCACTCTTTTTCTGTTTTACCTTTAGTTCTGTATCCATTTTCATCCTTTTCTGTATTGCGTAGTTCAAGTCCTTCATGTGCAAATTCACTTGATTTTTTCCACTGCTATTTGTTCTGCTACTTATGTTATTCATACGCCAGAGTTATCATTAAAAATCAGACCTGCCAAATCTATTTGGGTTACTCTAGACCCAACTGGCACTGTGTCTTGTTTTCATCAATTTTTTGGAAGAGACCTTTTCCAGAAACAGATGAGTTCAGTTCAGAGCAATACAGAAGGATACCAGTCAACATGTGGATTAGCTGTGGTACCGGCACCTGTGTGGGCTGGAGGATTGCAGCATTTAGGACAGACGAAAGCAAAAGCCCATAGCCAGCCCCCTCAGCTATTCTTACTGGCCTGCTTGATCATTAAAACAAAATAATAACAATAATAATAATAAAACAGGTAAAGTTTTATGTTCACATTCCATGAATAATCACAAACACAACTGCTACTTCCGCGCTGGCACACAAAAATAAGCTTTGTAAGTATGTTCTATTGTACAGTAGCTTAGGCCCCCTATGCCCTAATAGCGAGTATGTCCCCCCTTGGCTTATTGAACCTCAATAAGAAACCATATATCAATCTCTGAAATTGCTGCCAGAAAGTTTTCCCCACGATCCAATGCAGAATCCCTTAAGCTGTGTGATTTTTGAAGGGTGTCTCGCATGTACGGCCCGTTTCAAATCACCCCACAGCATTGCAATAAGATTCTGATCCGGGCTTTGACTTGCCTGTTCCAGAAATCTCCATTTTCCTTCTTCTAAGCCTTTTCTTGGTAGATTTACTGGAATGTTTTGGGTCATTGTCATGTTGCGTGGTCCACCCCCACTTCAGCTTCAACCTCTGGACAGATGATCTCACATTGTCCTCAAGCACTCTCTGATACGATGAAGACTTCATAGTAGATTCTATGATGGTGAGCTGGCCAGGTCCTGCTGCAGTAAAACAGCCCCAAACCAAGACATTTCCACCCCCATGCTTCACAGCTGGCATGAGGTTCTTTTGCTCAAAATCTGTCTTTGGTAACATGTCATATTCCTGTGTCGAAATAATTTAATTTTAGATTGATCCGTCCAAAGCAAATTGTTCCAAAAGTCCTGGTCTTTGTCTAGGGGGTCTCTGGCAAACTTCAGTCTTGCCCTGATTTTTTTTTGACAGCAAGGGTTTCCCCCTTGCACACCTCCCATGTAAATCAAACTTGTGCTGTCTCTTTCTGATGGTAGATGCATGTACCTTGACATCAACTGTGGCAAGAGTGTCCTGTATGTTTCATGATGACATTTTAGGATTTTTGGAGACTTCTTTCAGCTTGTTGCAATCAAGAGCAAATCAAACTAAATATCTGTGGTTTAAATAAGAAAGGGGTCCTGGAGAGGAGGCTCCGTCGGATTGTCAAACCTTGGGTTCAGGAGGAGCAGTGTGGTTTTTGCCCTGGCTGTGGAACAGCGGACCGACTCTATACTCAAGGCAGGGTCTTGGAGGGTGCGTGGGAGTTTGCCCAACCAGTCTACATGTGCTTTGTGGACTTGGAGAAGGCATTCGACCGTGTCCCTCGGGGAGTCCTGTGGGGGGTGCTCCGAGAGTATGGGGTGCCGGGCTTCCTTATAAGGGCTGTTCGGTCCCTGTACAACCAGTGTCAGACTTTGGTCTGCATTGTCAGCAGTAAGTCGGACTCGTGTCCGGTGAGGGTTGGACTCCGCCAGGGCTGCCCTTTGTCACTGATTTGGTTCATAATTTTCATGGACAGAATTTCTAGACACAGCCAGGGCGTTGAGGGTGTCCGGTTTGGTGACCTCAGGAGTAGGTCTCTGTTTTTTGCAGATGATGTGGTTCTGTTGGCCTCATCAGACCTTCGGCTCTCACTTGGACAGTTCGCAGCCGAGTGTGAAGCGGCTGGGATGAAAATCAGCACCTCCAAATCCGAGACCATGGTTCTCAGCCAGAAAAGGGTGGAGGAGTTTAAGTATTTCGGGGGCTTGTTCACGAGTGAGGGAAGGATGGAACGGGAGATCGACAGGCGGATCGGTGCGGCGTCAGCAGTGATGCGGGCGCTGCATCGGTCTGTCGTGGTGAAGAAGGAGCTGAGCCAAAAGGCAAAGCTCTCGATTTACCAGTCGATCTACATTACTACCCTCACCTATAGTATGGTCATGAGCTGTGGATAGTGACCGAAAGAGCGAGGTTGCGAATACAAGCAGCCGAAATGGGTTTCCTCCGCAGGGTGGCTGGGCTCTCTAAGGGAGAAATTTCAGAAATTTAAAATAGCTTCATGTGAAATTTCATGATATCATGATATCATGATATCTCACAAAGCATGATACTACACCTCATAATTCATAATTCAACTCACTGCAATGTGGAACCCGAAGGTGGTAACCTATTTACAAAAAAGTGACGGTCTCCGTCATAACATAATTATAAGGAGTAACTACCCTCTCAGAAAAAAGGGTAAAAAAATAATTTGCTTGTTACTGGGGCTGCACCCTTGTAATTTTAAGGTATAGAAATGGACCCTGAGGAACATCCCAAAGGTATAAACAGCATTAATGTACCATCAATGGTAAGAAGTGTTCCTCAGAGTCCATTTCTGTACCTTAAAAGGTACAATTTCAGTACAGCTAAGGGTACAACTGGCGGACCCTTGAGGGAACAGCCCCAGTGACAAGCAAATGTGCACATTTTTACCCCTTTTTCTGAGAGTGTAATACTACAGGGTGGCATTCAATCACTATTATAAGAAATACTAATATAAGTAATTAAAGTACATGTGAAAATTTTATGCTAAATATTCTTCTCCCTGGTTTAAGGGAGTATTTGTCACTAACGGTTTATGGCATGGAGCAATTTCTGAAAGATTTATTCTTTGCAGCACTTAAGATGGTGGCCAGGAGCATCGATAGGCCTATTTTAGGGGGGCTTCACACTATGGGACAAAAGTTCAAAAACAAAATCAGAAGATTCTTGTGATGACCGTGCGCAAGGCGAGCGAACAGGAAGCGGGGAAGCAGGGCCAGGCACACGGAGATCCAAAACAAGGGGTTTTATTGCTGGCAGAGCACAACACAGTGAAAACGTCTATGAAAGAACTGGGGAAACAGACTTGAACGCGGACTGAAATACAAAAGACAAGCCGAAATGACAGGAAACAGCTGATCACAATCGGGATGCACACAAGGGTAACGAGGTGGGCGTGGCACATGAGAGGGCTGGACGGAGGGACGTGACAATTCTAATTGCCAGCGGTACTGGAGAAACCATATCTTTTTTTATCTGGATTTGACATCCTGTGATTATTTCAAAAATCAACATATCAAGTTTTAGTGAAATACAAAAAATACTATGTTGTAGATTCCAGAAGATGTTGTGGTAATGACAGATAGTCTAAATAAAATAAAAATGTTAATTTAAAAATAAACATTATTTCTGAGCTTCAAGTAACTCAGCATGACTGTTAATTTGCATAAATGTTAATAAGAAAATTCCAAAAATGTGAAAATGCATTGGCTTTCTTAATGGTCTTGATGTTTTCAGACTGTTGTGGTAATGAGATTTTTAAGGACTTGTTTTTGGAAATGTTAAAAAACATTTAAAATTTACCCTTACAAATACTTGTACACAGTGGAACCCGCTTATATTAATTACTGTTATAGTGATCAACCGCAAGTATGGATCAAAAACCTTGGGACAGAATCATTACTGTACAAATATGGTTTAAATAATTCTCTTACAGATTTCTTGTTGGGTCTTTTTATATAGGCTATGACAACATACTCTACTTTGATAAGCATACCTTAATAGCCTTGTGATAACCCGTATGCTGGTAACCCGGCGAAACTACAAATGGAAAAAATCGGTTATAACGATCATCCGATAATAGCGATCAATTTCACCCAGCCAGACGTGATCACTATAAGCGTATTCCACTGTACCTCGTATTTGAAATTTTCGAAACCATATCTCACCATGGTTTGGTGAGAATCACCCTAATAGATTTTAGCGCTAGGGAATGCAGTTTAGTGCACTTTTGCTGCCACCTCTTGGTTACAATATAATATTACACACAATACAATTCATTGGATTTTTATTAAGTTTATAATGTCTTCTCACGTATAGTATAATTTATCATATCAAGAATTTCTCAGACTATTTATTACCTTGTTGCTTTATTTGCTCTATTTTAGCTATTAAAACTAAGGACTAGGATCTTGTACAATGAAGGTGTGTAGACGCCTGCACACTTCGGTTAGATAATCAGCCCCTCACCTGAAGCACTTTGATCAGCACCCTCTGTATATTTGCGTATATTTGTCACTGTTGACGGTTATTTTTATTCTATTAACGCCAGTTAGGTCTATTTAACTATTGCTCTCATTAACATTAAGGCAAGCTGTCCGCAAGAAACAGTGTCACCTGTTTCTTTAAGAGGCAGTCCGACAAGCTGTCCAATGATGGGAAACTGAACGGGTTTATTTCAGGCAGACATTTCCTATGCTTCAATGAATTGATGCTTCAAGCGGAATGCACTGGCAAGATCTGCACTTGCTTTTATCTATATTTACATACGATGTATTATTATAAACTGTAATATTAATTTCATGTAGTGCAGTTACAGTATAACGTCTAACTGTAAGTGCCTGCACTGCAGATTCAGGTCGATCTGAAAGCGCTGTTTCGCGGATTAGTAATCCGGTGTCGCACACAGGCTTATCCCTTCTGTTTTTATTCGTCTTTTATTACTCCTGTGCACGTACCGCTACTTCGACATATTTATCTGATCCCAGGACGTCCGAAACCGCTAAGAAAACAAGATGGCTGAGATGAGTAAAGGGGTCACCGCTGGGAAATTGGCCAGTAATGTGCAGAAAAAAATAACGCGAGCCCAAGAAAAGGTAAGAAGGGGACGATGGACGTTATCGGAGCAATTAATCCAACGCATTTTTATTATAGGCGCCCCTTTGGTTTCCCAGCTGAATGTCGGAGGTATAAGATATTAGCGTTTGTCCGTATTGTCGCCTCTCTTTAGGTGGGTGTCAGTGTATGCAGTGGGGGATTGCGGTGTTTTGTAACGATCTGCTACTAAGAATGGCTAATATGAGTAAACAGATAAATTGGTATGGTAGTACTCCAACTTGCATTTTCCCCTAATTGTTAAGTTTGTGATTCAGTGATCCCTTTCCATTGCAGTGTTACATGTCACCTAAAGGGCTGTATACACGCAGAATGTGGAGTGTTTTGCGAACAGGTTTATTTCCAGTCCTAGTGTCATCCCCGAGGGCATAAAATGTTTATGCCGATCTTTCCTTTGACCAGCAATTATTCCTCCCAGAGCTATCATTGACAGGAAGCGTGAGTCACGTTTGACAGCGACGTGCATTTTCAGATGAAGCTGTGATTTGAGTATTTTAACAGCCCCTAGGACTCTCCCAAAGACAGACATTGTTTCTTTAAGCAACCACTGCGCATAACCATGTTAGTATCACTCTTGATTTTTATTATTTTTGTGACGTTTCTCCTCGTGGGTTTCCGAATGTGTTTTCATATTTAACAAGGAAAAAACACATTTCAAGTGTATGTGACTTTGTTGTGTTATGACTTGGATGACCTGTGTCATCCTATGTGGATTTAGGAGTTTAGTCTTCATCTACAGGCTCAATCTGATATTTGGGTATGGATATCTTATGGGTTTCAATCTAAATGTACACATTTATCATATTTTATCATATATGAGGTTATTGTGTTAACAAGAACTCCATGAAAAATGATCAAACACAGGAGACTCAAGAAATCCCTCTGTATATGTTTTGGAAGCTTGCATGGGGAAATTCAGGACAAGCCTTGCTATTGTAAATGCCCAGCAGGATTTGACCACACACACACACACACACACACACATTTCTGGCAGATATGTGGGTCTGTCTGTTTCTGCATCTTTATTTTATATGGATCCTCAGCCGAGTTTCTGGCCGCTTAAAGGTGGGTTGGATTTACTTCCGCTTCACCCAGCCAGAGACCCCATTCGGTAGAGAACACGAGCACAAATTGAGGAACAGCTGCAGATCATCCGGAAGCAGTCTGTAGACATTCCCATTCCAGCCAGCCAGGTTTTGTGGAGCTGCTTTCCCCGCTTGATTCAGCACAGCTTTACCAAAACAAAACTCTTACGACTGTGTTCTTATATATTCTTTCTTAATGTACTTTGACTTCTGCTGCACTTCCCTCCCTAACCATTCTAATCCTTTTTGGTTTCCCATGTCATTCATTTTATTTTCTCATGTCATTCATCAAGTTATTTATACTTGTAAAACAGAAGTTAAAATGACATCTGTTCCTAAGTCCACAGATTTTTTTCCTTTCTAGACATGTCTGTAGTGTGTGAATACATACAGACAGGTGCTATTAGCTAGGCATCCTAAAGGAGGCTAAGGAATTCTGCGCACAAAGCTGATTACTCCTTCGGCGTGGAAGGTCAGGCCGCTCTCGCACGTGGCAGGCTAAACTAGACCTGGTGGCAGGTGGTCTGGTCGTGTGTCCGAAGGGAGGACGGCGTGTGGACTGTAGGGGCTGCCTGGGTCTGAACAGCTCACCTTCTGATCGACCCTGTTGAAGCTATTCGTGGTTCTGGTGCCCCCCTTCCCCCGCACCCCTGTTCTACTTAACTCCACCCCCTCCATTTCCAAAATTTTAAGGCCAGTCCAGCAATAGGTCCATTTCCACACCTGTCTCCCCCTGCAAAGTCCATCAGTGGGATATGGCTGGGCCCCTATGAATAGACTGCAGCCTGCATCCCACTGGCTAATCCCCATGAACTTTGGTGTGTGGTAATCATGCCACTGGCCTGCGGTATTTTTGGTTCGAGACTGAAACTGAACACCACTGAACAGAAGTTAAGCTTGGTCTCCTAGAAAACAAACACGGTGACACTGGCTGGCTCCACAGACTAACCCCCGCCCTGTGTGGCCTTTTATCTCTCCTCGCTTTGGCCATTAAAGTTCCAAACCCGGTTGGTAATTGAGACCATTCTTAGCATTACTGTTACCCGGTAAATAAATAGATGATTGCATATGTGAGCTGAATGCATTGTTGGAGAAAAGACTGCCACTTTTTAAGAGACAGCCACTTTATTGCTCTGAGCAGAGTTTATTACCTTTGCTAATTATCATCGCTAAACAAATGTCCACAAATATCACTGGGAAACAACAACAAAAAAAAAAAAAAACAAGAAGATGGAAATAGTAAGCAGAGGAGTGAATTGCTCTGCAGCAGCTGAGGGTGGAATGTGCCGGACAGTTTTGGGATCTGGTTTCTACCATTCCTCTTACCCTCTGGACAATGTGGGTCCCATGTTGGGGGAAAAAGAGCTATAAGTGTCCTTGATTGTGTGGTTTGCTGTTATGAATGAAATGCACGAGATAGGGGAGGCAGTTTGGGATTGTGTGTGGGTACAAGTGAAATTTATTGCAGTGGCTTTTTTAATATGCTGATGGTGTGGTTTCTATATCTTTCTAAACTGTGATTCACGGCTCCCACCTTCCTTCTGCGGTTTTTCCTTTTATCCAAATTTTTAATTTCTGTAGAACTTGAGCCAGTAAAAGTAGTTGGATAAAAGGCAAAATGGTAAAAATGTAGTAAAAGTGCAGATGTAGGAGCAATGGCTGTTCTCCTGATGGATTTTGTCTCTGATATCTGTGCTGTGTTTGGAGCAGGAGGAGAAGATACCTATGGAGGTCATGGTGGTTTTTATTGAATCTCCAGCCAACAAGCACTGTGAGATCTTCCAGCTAATACCTCTGCAAATATCTGCTGCCTTCTTTCCATGATTACTGGTTCATTATGGTGCCTATCACCTTTAACATGGACATCATGGATATTATAATCAGAAATGAGGCTAAATAAAATTTGAAGATAAGTGTAACAATAACCTTGCTTTTTAATGAGCAAAAATATTTTAAAATGGGCAACTTGATAAGCCTCATACCTTCGGAATTGTCTCATGGGTCAAAGACTTTTATTTCTGTTTGAGCTCTGACCTTTGCCCCCAATCTAATGGATGTTTTTGAGCCTCTATCATTATTGGCAGTTGCTTCCTCTGCAGCAGATCCTGTTGACTTGTTCTCGCAGATAAATTATTTGTTTAAGAAATTGTGTTTGTACTCTGAGCCAAATGTATCATGTCTATATATATCTGCCACTCTCACAGTAATGTTCCATTGCTCTAGTGGCACATATATATATATATTAAATTGAGACACAAGTTACACAACTGCATTTTGTTCTTGAAGCATTTCCAGTATATCACACAGCAGAACCCCGCTTGGGTCTGAAACTGCTTATTAATCCATTGTCTTAAGTCCAGTGAGTAGTTCAGTTGCCATGCTGGCCTTTTCTCATTTTTTCCTTCTGCCCCAGCTTACATGCAATGACAAGAATAAATCTAAGGCCATATTTGCTTCTTTTAGTGAGGACTGGGGAGCAGTATTTGGTGTTGGCTTGGGTTCTGGAGCCTTATGTCTAAGCCTGGTGATCTGATAAAACCTGACCTAGTCAATGCTTAATGCTTCTGGCATTCTTATGTCCGCCTTGCTCTTTAATGTTACAGAGTAATAGAGCTTTAGAATGAAAACACATTCTTGCATTTTATAATTAAACTTAAGTTTTGGCTTCACGGTACATCTTCTGGGCATATGAAGGGCTATTCCATTGCACACACCTCATGACTAGCTTGGTGTGCAAGACCATACAGAAGATGTACAGTGTGTGCTTACATCAGGCATCTAGTCATTTACAGATAAATAATAAATAAGGGTCATGCTCTTGTGATGTTAGGCGTTATTGGTTCCCTTAAAGAATTCCAGTTAAGTTTATTTAAAAATAGGCACTCTTCGACTCTTTTATTGGTGCAGATTTGCTTTTATTAAAATAGGGCTGCCCATCAGTCAGTAACTGACTGTTGGGGATATAAGTGGATTTTCTCAGTAGGATTCCCAGGCAGGAAGTGTGCTGTATGTCTGGGCTAGGGCTGTCACTTTTTAACCGATATTCGAACATCCGTTCGAACATGATGTGAAAAATGAACCCAATCGAATTTTAAAGTGTCACTGTAGCCTATACGCGCATTAGACCGTTTCTTGTAATCTTGTCTGCCGTCTGCGGAGCCCCTAAAAGGTCAGGGTGGGGAAACATTTTTTGAAATAGTTTTGTGTTTCCTCGCAACACTTTTGCTATCCCTCTGTATTTGCCCACTTGCTATTTGCTGCAACGTGAGGGCAAGGATAAAGCTAAATAATACAGATATGTCCTGTAAAGTGTACTTTTAATCATTGAACTACTATCAATTTTGTACACTGTGTAACTTTAATGTTATGTCTGTTTATAGGCCGACGTATTTATTAATAATTGTACTGTGTCTATTCACCGCCAGTGACATTAAGCAAAATAGCTGGGCTATTGAACGTGAAGTGCGCGCACAATCGCTGAAATACATTAAAAAATATATATATTGAAAGATATTACAACCGGAAAATAAGCATATAAAGCTACCTTTACGAGGTGTTTGGAGTTAACTCGAATCCGCTTTTTGGAATACAGTGGTACCTCGGTTCTCGAACTTAATCTGTTCCAGACTCCGGATCGAATCCTAAAAAGTTCGAGTTCTGATCGAATTTTTCCCATAAGAAATAATGGAAAACCAATTAATTGGTTCCCAGTCCCCCGAAATTACACCTAAATATGATTTTTTTTAAGCAGTTAAACACTAAATGAACAGGATACGATAAAGATCCAAAACGATAAAGATCTTATCCCAACATTACCCCTGTCCTGCCCCCATCGTCCGCTCCTTCCGTGTGCCACGCCCCCTCATTAACCTTGTGTGGGATCCCCATGTGATCAGCTGTTTCTGGTTGTTGTCATTAGTCCTCTGTATCGCGTTTCAGTTTGTTTCCCCAGTCCGGTCATTGGGTGCGTTCGACTTGCTTACAGTGCTGGCTTAAAGCAACGCATTCTGATCCTGACGCAATCCATTACGGTTGGATGCATTGCGGCTTCT